TATCAAAATAAGAAAAATATATACTAACAATTTTTTAAATTTATGGCCCTAGGCATGTGCCTGTCTTGCCCTGCCCATGGCCGACCTGGTTTAGGGTAGACAAATATTGTAAATATTGTGAATAACCATATCTCTGGAGGTAATATTTGAAAATTGTCAGCTCTCCATCAGGGTCGTCTTGTAAATTTCGGTGGCCCAATACCATAACAGTAAAATAGACCTTTTAAAACTAAAATATTATTTAATGTGGGTATTGGACTTGAAAATTCTTGGGCCAAACATCCTCAATATATATATATATATATATATATAAAAGACTTAAAAAAATTTGGAGGCCCCAAATCCGGCCCTGCTCTCCATTAATTAAGACTTCAAAATAGGCTCATTTTTTATTCAGAGCTTCCAAGAAAATTCTAAAGTTATATCATCACGATACAAAGATACCGTAACCTCTAAGTCAATTATAGTGTATAGATAAAACCTCTAACATATTTACATGATCTTATGTTTTACCTCATTACTTAGGGACATCATAAATATTTATTAGCCACAACTAATAAGGGGGCTTTCTTTTTCATCTCTTACTCTTATATTGTTCATCTCCCACTTCTCTCCTCAACTAGATCAACATCGACTTATTTTATTTGTTATGACTTTCCGTTCAAATTATAAGAGATGAATTATTCACTATCGATGAAATAAATCTATTACTATCAACAAACTAAATTATAATTTATAATAGTTAAAAATTTGTTCACATTAAAAAATGAGTATCGGTGGCTTGTAATTATTTCATATCATGAAGCTATGTGATTCTGATTTTTTTTTTAATAACGATACGATTTGGTGAAGAATTATGTGTGGTGAATACATACATTCATACTTCATTCTTAAGGTGTAAAAATTATGTTTTATGCCCATCACTAACTACATGTAAAAGTAATTTTAAATTAAGTATTACGAGGTGCAAAATATGTTCCATGCCAGCTTTCATTGATGTGAAAAAGAAAAAGAAAAAAGCCTTCGTCTTTACTTGGTCAGAAACTCAGAAGAGCCTTTATTCATTTTGATTTTCCAAATTTAAAACGATTTTCTTTTCTTTTTTCTATATAATTAGTAGAGTGCTTACTTGGTAAATGTGATGTGGAGATGCTCTTTTCCACGTACTACAAGGCTTTAGCTTTACGTGATTGAAGAATAGAGAGTGTATTTCAATGAGTTTTCCATTAAAAAATGTTTAGAAAATCGAAAGGAAATCAAAGCCGAAGAGAGATTCCTCCTTTGGTTCAAACTTCAAACACCATGAGAGGAATTCTTGCTTTTGGCTTTTTTCCTCTTCACACTTCACACTCTCTTTCATTGGTGTAACTTAAGCAGAGTCATTGAATACTCAATTATACTCATTTCACTGTTGTTTTGCTCCTTTATATCTGTCATTTCAGTGCAATTTGGCCACCACCTAGCTTGCTTCCATTGCAAGGGGATTGTGATATTTTTTCTGGGTTTTGCCGTTTTCTTCATTCTTGTGTTGGATTTTGCAGCATGTTCAACTATCATTTTGGGCATTTGGGTTTTGTTTTTAAAGTTTTTATTTTTAGAACGTTTGAAGTTAGAGAAAAAAAGGCAAATGGCAGGCGGAGGAGGAGCGGCGCCACCCCAAACAGGAGGAGTTACAACCACATCCAGTCAAGGATCAAATGCCTAACTTGCTTATTGCATTACTAGTCCCCTCCTTGGCGTGAGTTTTCTTTATATTTGAAAATCTCTCAAAATGCTTATACATTGATTCAAGTGCTTATTTCTGAATCAAATATGTATTTTTCTCTCATTACAGCTGAAGCTATACTGGGTTTCAACATTACTTAGTGATGCTTGGGACAACTGTTCTCATACCAACCTCTCTAGTTCCCCAGATGGGAGGTGGAAATGTATGTTTTTATTTCACGAATAATCAATTAGTTCTCTTCATGTTCTTTGTTTTACTTTTTTCTCAAATGTTCTTCGCATCAGGAAGAGAAGCCAAGATGATCCAGACATTGCTATTGTGGCTGGGGTGAACACATTGTTTCAAACATTTTTCGGTACTCGTCTGCCTGCGGTGATCGGAGGTTCTTACACCTTTGCCAACGACCATTTCAATTATCTTGGCCGGCCGATATAGTGACATTGTGAATCCTCAGGAGGTTGCTTCAATAAGATCCTAACGTTTGTATTATATATGTGATGTAATTATGTAAACCCTGAAATCTGAATTGGATTGGTTTTGATCTACTGAATATGCAGAAATTTGAGAAAATAATGCGTGGGATCCAGGGTCCTCTTATTGTTGCCTCGACTCTTCAGATCGTTCTCGGGTTTAGTGGCCTTTGGCGTAATGTTGCTAGGTAAGTTTAAGCATTGCTATGGCTTAAGCATCCTCTTTCTTGTTTGTTGTGCTACTCTTCAATAAAACATATAGTTTTGCATGATGATGTGGTTAAATAATCTCTTAACGAGTATGTATCATCATACTAACCCGCTTGTCAAGCCGGAAACTCCAACGGCAGTCAATGAAATAGTTTATCGTCTTTAATTAACACTCTTTGTGCTTATCTGGTAAATGCAAGATACAAGTTGCTACGAGATGCTTACTTAGTTGGCATTGTTCCATTTAGTGTTTGATTGGAGACTCAATGTAGCTTCATTTGTTTTTATACCTTTCAATGCTTAACCAGGTTCTTAAGTCCACTATCTGCTGTTCCTCTGGTTGCTATGTCCGGCTTCGGGCTCTACGAACTCGGCTTTCCTGTGGTATGTATCGACATCTTTTGGGATGAACATGTATGTTGCCATAAAATTGCTTGCCCGTTTTTCTTTTCCTAAAATCTGGCTATTTCTTTTGTAGCTTGCGAAATGCATTGAGATCGGGCTACCACAGATCATCCTTCTCTTAGTCTTCTCACAGGTAGTTTAGATTGTCCATTCGCAGCTGCCCTTTTTCTTTTAATACGGGCGCTAAATAGAAATATTCACCTCCATGAATTTATTGCAGTATATACCTCATATGGTACGTGGGGAGCGGCATGTGTTTGATCGCTTTGCTGTCATATTCTCGGTTGTGATTGTCTGGATATATGCTCACCTGCTCACTGTTGGTGGGGCATATAAGAACACGGGACCAAAAACTCAATTAAGCTGTCGAACTGATCGCGCTGGGATTATAAGTGCTGCTCCTTGGTAAGGCTCTTTTGTTTCTTCCTTCACAAGGCAATATGTTACCCTTGCAAAATCAAATTGAGATACTTGAAGTTCATTGTTTAGCAGTATATATAAGAATAGAATGTACAATTAATTGATTATCACTGCTCGTTGTTATGCACAACACTTCGTGAATAGGATAAGAGTTCCATATCCTTTTCAATGGGGAGCTCCTTCGTTCGATGCCGGAGAATCTTTTGCTATGATGGCAGCTTCATTTGTTGCTCTTGTAGAGGTTTGTTTCTTGTTTCCATAATCCCGATATCCATCTCATTTGCATAGAAAATGCAACCTTCATGTTCATTTTTATGATCTTGTTGTGATTAAACAGTCTACTGGTACCTTCATTGCTGTTTCAAGATATGCAAGTGCTACTCCGCTGCCTCCTTCCATTCTTAGCCGTGGTATCGGTTGGCAGGTAAAATGTTTTATGATCGATTGATATATGCATATATGGTAATCAATTGATGAAATATCTATGTGATCAAATGACTAAAGTTCAGCTTCTAATGTGTCTTGTTTCGTTTCAATCATAGGGTGTCGGCATTCTCTTTTCTGGGATATTCGGAACCGGGAATGGATCATCTGTTTCAGCGTAAGATTCTTTCGTTAGCGGCACACAATTTGACAATATTTCTTTATCGAAATCATTATGAGCTTGGACTGTTTGCATTAAATTTTGTACATTCATTTAAACCTTCCGTGCATTCGATGTAGTGAGAATGCTGGTCTGTTGGCACTGACTCGAGTTGGCAGTCGAAGAGTTGTCCAGATATCTGCCGGGTTCATGATCTTCTTCTCCATCCTTGGTAAGTTTCAAAATGCCAATCTCTCCCTATCTCTTTCTTTCATATGTATTTATAACTTTTCATGCATTATCGATCAGGGAAATTTGGAGCCGTTTTCGCCTCAATTCCGCCCCCGATTATTGCAGCTTTATATTGTCTTTTCTTTGCATATGTTGGTGAGTCTTATATGAATCAAAACTTTATCATTGCTGTTCCAGTCAAGAGTTTCATGATTCAACATTCATACTAAATTCGTGTTCAGGTTCGGCGGGTTTCGGGTTGCTTCAGTTCTGCAATTTAAACAGCTTCAGAACAAAGTTCATATTAGGTTTCTCTGTATTCATGGGCTTATCAATACCACAGTACTTCAACGAGTACACAGCAGTTAACGCTTATGGTCCTGTTCACACCAGAGCCAGATGGGTAACTATATCGTTTTCATTTACCCTTTTACAAGTTTCATGGGAACTTTTTAACCTTAATCTGTTGTTTGTTTGCAGTTCAATGACATGATAAATGTGCCTTTCTCGTCGGAAGCATTCGTTGCTGGTTTATTGGCGATGTTTCTTGATGTCTCATTGCATGGGAAAGACAACGCAACTAGGAAGGATCGCGGAATGCACTGGTGGGACAAGTTCCGATCATTCAAAACCGATACAAGAAGCGAGGAGTTCTATTCCTTGCCCTTCAATCTCAACAAGTTCTTCCCATCAGTGTGATCTTCGGACACAGTTTTCAACTGATACTGTCCATTTTTACCATTATTTTGACACTTAGAAGAAACATATAAGTTTAGAGTTCTTTGGCCTCAGTTTTATCACCTTAAATCCCGAAATGCTAGGTCGTGTTCGATGTCTGTATCCGACACTTTAACTAACAGTGTTGCTTGCCTATGTTACATGAATTTTTCGTTTTTTAAAGTACTCGTATTCAATGTCTCAACACATTCAATTTGGGCAAAGTTTGTGTTTTGTCCCACATCAGCATAAAGTAAATTAATTGGTAAATCAATGTCAAAATATCACTCACAAAGAATGCATCTTTATCCCCTGTTGTTCACTCTGCTGTATGTAACTCCATAATAAACAAGGGCCCTTAAATCTAGTTGCACTGCAGCTCCACTCTACCTCGATCCCCTCTCACAGGTTGTCGGACCATTTTTTACTTTTTAAGGGCGGCAACTTTGATTCTGCCCAAGTCGGTAAATCGGAAACCCATAGAGCTTTGCCGGTGTTTTTGTGCTTGAAATCGGGGTACTTTTCTTTTACCCTGCCATTTATCTGCAAGCCGCAACAAATCGTAAATATGATATGAAGACGTTGGTCGAAATGAGTAAAACCCTCCTTATACCTTATCCAATCTGTAGTCCGACCACATACTCGGGTTTCCCACCAAGTCCTTCCAGTATTCTTCCCCTGAATCAAATAAAATTTTATGGCACTATGCATCATGTTCATAATAGATAAACTCAAATGCTAGAAGGTGCTTCAACATTTGGACCTGTCAATTGGACAGGTTGTGCTGGTTTTCGGTCAAGTCAATCTGGGTCGAGTTAATTCAGGTTTAAATTTTTTGAATTCTTTCAGGTTTGCCAGAGTTTTCTGTATCGAGATGCTCAGGTCATTGTCAGGGTGTGGTTGGGCATGTTTGAGTTGTTGACTCTTCAGGGTCAAACTGGTTTCGGGTTCGGGTTGGGTTCAGTATTGGTCTAATTCTTAATCGTCTAAGTTACCAAATAACAGGGAGCCAATGTCTACACAATCATTGCAACAAAAACGATACAATATTTATTTAACTATACATTTATGTTGGTTCAACTTAACTTGATTTTTGAATAGGAATATCGAAACCCACTTCTTCAAGTTTGGATACAACCCACTCTGGTGCGCTATCGAGCCAAAGTGCATGAACACCATCTTTGCGTTTAAAATCAGGATATCTAGGTTTTACCTGTAAATAAAACAATAAGCACCTTTTCAAATGCAAAAAGAGGAACAACAAAGTATAATGAGAGGATTACCAATCCATTAAGCTTCTTTTGACGGTAATCCTGCCATTCTTTCGGATTATCAAGAAGGTCTCTCCATGCATCCGTGGCAATTTCAGTACCTTCCTTGGTACTAGCTGAAATGAGTTAGGAAGCGTACTTAGTGATCACAGTCATGAACAAAACCAACAAAATTACAATAGCAGATGATGCCAATTCAATCAAAATTACATGTAAACATTCAAGGGTCGGATGAAATTTACTTTCCACGTTCTACCAATTGTTTTTTTTCTGTATGATTGTTAAATTTCTTCAGTATACCTAGTGGAATAGAAAATCTAAATCACAATGCAAATAAATGTAAGTCAACCGTGACTTACCATCAACGCCAACATAATAAAACCTTTAGCTTTGATGAAAGACGTACAAGTTTTACCTCAGATAACTTAAAGCACAAAATATATCATCGATAAGGATTTAACTCATATTCTTCCGTGATAAGAAAGTATTCTAGATATAGCCATAGAGTCTCACCAGAATAAGTTAAGGTCCTTTCTTCTTTAGGGGGAGCGTTGCTTTTCTTCTTGGGAGGCGATTCATCAACAAAGTTGATACAACGCACCATAACCTACCACGTACAAAATTAGATATTAGCCACCCCGAAATCGTATCTCTCAACAGTTTACACAATATATCTTTCAATAATAAAAACTACGGACACCGATGATATAAAAAGAACTTATCTTCATCAGATTCAAACTAGGTTATGGTTAATCTAATAACGACACAATTTGTATAGCTGCTTTATGTTGGAAAGTAACATTTTAGTCAAGTTATTTTCCGCCACATACTCAGTGAACCACACATTTATAGAAGGCCGAAACAGAACCGAGAATTAGATTCTCACGTCTCACCGTTGTCGGACCAGAGTGCAGTGCCATTTAGTTAGGTTTTGCCTTAAAATCAAACATTTGATTTCATTGGTGAGATTGAAATCTAAAATAAACCTCTTTCAAATATACAACAAACAAGATTCTTGCAATGCAATGGAGTTGGGGTTCATCCGGATGCAAATGAATCATCTGTTTCACAGAGATAAGTCCTTGTCCCACTAGACAAGAGGATAGCAAGGCACAAATTCCGTTTCGGGAAGACCTGTATTTATATTACTATGAAATTTATAAATGAAGTAACCAATCATGGGTTACCATTGTCCTGTTTGTACGTGTTCCTAAGAAAAGAAAACGAATTTCGAAACAAATGGTCGTCGAAACACATGAAACCTCTTTAATGGAAATGGAAAAGAGATGTAACTCGAGTTCCTTCAGAAAAGGTACGAATACTAGCACTCTCAAACTATTCACTTCTATAGAGTAAACAAAAGAGATTTTGATTATAACAACGAACTCGATCCTAGTTTTCTAACAAGTAACTTTGTTCAACTACTAATCATACACAAAATAAAACAATTTTCCACGAAATTTTGAACAGTCTACCTGAACATTGGCTTGATTTTGAGTTGCATCAGAAGGTGGATCAGCACTGAGTTGCCCATCTATATAAACATGATCATTTTCTTTTATATGACAAGCAGCAACATGAGCCAAATCACCTTCAAATATAATTGGAATCCTAATATAAACACAGTGAACTTAACATCGTTAAACTGAATCAAAACACTAATAATGCATCAAAAGAACTCGAAAATGGGAAGGTGGGTGTACCAAAGAGGAGGAGCATCGGAGGAAGAGTTCTGGGAAATAACAGTGCCTGCCCAGAATTTACCGTCGGGGGCAGCCTGGAACTGAACCGGCATATGAATGTAACCGGAGAGGGCGACGGAGTTGGCCACCTTGGACTGGTAGGGTATCGTAGAAGGCTTAGGCCATTCTTTTGGTGGCGGTGCTGCTGGGGGTTTAGAATCGGAGGGTTTCTCCGATTTGGTCAACCGCTTGGCGGTGGTTGAATAAAAAGAAGCTTGTAAAGCGAACCATCTTCTCGTGGCCTGATGAGATTGTGAAGCTGCAAGTTTTGCGAGTGAGTTCATTGTTGAAGAGCAGAACCAGAGATTAGTGAGGTTTAAAAAGCTAAAAACCCTCGCCTTGCTCTTTGAGGCTCAGGCTCACGGTTCAACCAGCCACAGCGCGCCGGTTTAAAAGAAAGGGTTAATTCACGGTTTCGTCCCTAAAATCATATTTATCTTTTTCTATCTCACTCCAATCCCAAAACTACTATTATTTGATCCACATTATTATTGTAAAATTTCAATGTCAGTGTTAAAAAATCAAATATGGGTGATCGACAATATCAATCGTTGGATGGGCGTCGCGGTTCTTGTTAGTTTGTTGGATTCTTTGAACGAGAAGGAATAAGTAATTTGATAATTAGTTTGTAGGTGTTCGAATTAATATTGGGCGAATGAAAACTGCATTAGAAAATTATAGTGAATGTGATATAAGGTTAAAGTGTGATGGTTTACTTGGTGTCTCTAGTAAACATATGCGGATTAAACCGTCATTCGAGTTGGATAAATTAATGTGGATAAGACAGTTCATAACAGTGATAAGGTTGTTTCATGTGTGATGTAATATGAAGAATGTAGTGATTTAATGGGCGAAATTGTATTTAATTCTCCTCCGGCTTTAATGAAGATGTTCCTTCGATTAGATTTATAAAATAACTAATTTTTTATTAATAATACATTACCGTTGGACACGAATATTGAATTATTTCCATGTAATTAGTTTATATCTTTAATTTATTCAATCTTAATCTTTATAAATTTAAATTTTAAAATTTAAATTTTTGACGTAAATATATTTAACAAATTTAACATAAATTGATATAAACTAAATTTGTAACTTATATTTAATGCATTAATTAATAGTAGAATGACAAATTTAACTGCTAACATTTGAGTTAGATTAAAATTTTAAGTATAAAGATTTAAAATAATCTTATAAAAAAATAAGCAAATTGGAATACATGACGTAATCTACTACTTACACGTTTGACAAAAAGAAACCACACGCACCTATTCCCTCGTTCAAGAGCTGGGGCAATTACGTCCAAGCACTTAAGGATACTCCGAGTCGGTTCAAGGACCGGCTGTTGACCCGATCGCTTGACTCGACGGAGCTCCACGAAATCAAGGGTCGGAGCCAGCATGAGATGAAGAAGAACCTATCATGGTGGGACCTTATTAAGTTCGGTATCGGTGCTGTTATAGGAGCCGGCATATTCGTTCTTACTGGACTCCAAGCAAAAAAGTCTCCGGGCCCGCCGTCGTTTTGTCGTTCGTGGTATCGGGTGTGTCGGCCATGCTTTCAGTGTTTTGCTACACTGAATTCGCTGTTGAAATTCCTGTTGCAGGTGGATCATTTGCGTACCTTAGAGTGGAGTTAGGTGATTTCATGGCCTTCGTTGCAGCCGGTAACATCCTCCTCGAGTATGTTATCGCAGGTGCTGCGGTGGCTCGGTCATGGACTTCATACTTCGCCACCCTCTGCAACCATAACTCCGACGATTTTCTAATCATAGTCCACAGCATGCCCAAGGACTACGGTAAACTTGACCCCATCGCCGTCGTTGTCGTCATCGTCATCTGCATCCTCGCCGTCCATAGGACCAAGGGCTCATCGCGCTTCAATTACGTCGCTTCCGTTGTCCACGTTCTCGTTATCCTCTTCGTAATCATTGCCGGCTTCACGAAAGCCCACACCAAATACTACAATGATTTCGCTACATTCGGCATCCATGGTATTTTCAAGTCCTCCGCCGTGCTTTTCTTCGCATACGTCGGATTTGACGCCGTTTCCACCACGGCCGAAGAGACTAAGAACCCTGCTCACGACATCCCTAATCCCTATCGTCCTCAATGGTGATAACGACGACTGCATATTGTTTGCTCGCCATCGTGTTATGCCTAATGCAACCCTACCCGCAGATCGACAAGGATGCACCGTTTTCGGTAGCGTTCGAAGCTGTCGGGATGTCATGGGGTAAATATGTGGTGGCTGCCGGTGCGTTGAAAGGCATGACTACAGTCCTACTCGTCGGCGCCGTCGGTTAAGCTCGATATCTCACGCATATTGCTCGAACCCACATGATGCCACCATGGCTAGCACAAGTCCATCCAAAGACAGGGACGCCGATCTACGCCGCCATCGTCATGCTTACTGCCACCGCGATCATCGGTTTCTTTACCGATCTCGGGATTCTCGTAAACCTTCTATCAATATGACCACTATTCATCTTCCTACTCGTGGCTCTCGCTTTCATAGTTCGCGGGTATTACGTGAGCGGAGAGACGAGTACGGCGGACCGGAACAAACTAATCGCATTCATCGCCCTTATTCTAGCGTCTTCCACCGCAACGGCTGCTTATTGGGGCTTGAGTGACAACAACGATTGGATCGCATACGTGATCAGCATCCCGATTTGTTTCTTAGCCACCGCGGGAATCGCGGTGCTTGTTCCGCAGGCGAGGAAGCCAAAAGTGTGGGGAGTACCGATGGTGCCGTGGTTGCCGTCGCAATCCATAGCGATAAACATATTCCTGCTGGAATCAATCGATGCTGCATCGTTTAAGAGGTTCGGGATGTGGACTTGTGTTCTGTTGTACTATTTCTTCTTCGGATTACATGCGTCGTATGATACGGCGAAGGAATCGGGAGAAAATAAGATCGGAGAAGGGTGGAAGGAGGTTGAAGAAGGACAAAGTGATAGTACTATTACTGCTGCTGCTACTGCTGGTGTGTCTTTAGATCAGGCCAAGTGATATGATGCATGCATGTAAGTCGTAAGAGTTCATTAATATATATTAAGTCGTTAATACAGCAATAATGTGCAGGTTTCTTCTCTCCTCAGTTTGGATTAAGAAGTAATTTTCAAACTCATTTTTTCTCTTACAATTATTTGTTTAAGACCATTTATGACCCATATGATTATGATTAGAGTTTAAGGTGGGTCAAATTTAATCAGGTGATCTATTTTTTTAATTCAATTTGATGTTTAGAAAGTTAATTCAGTTTAATTTAATTAATTCAAAAATATTAATTTACAAAATAAAATTCAAAAAACTAAATTGTTTTAATGATTAATGAATTTATTTAATCTAATTGATATATATATATATATATATATATATATATATATAATATACAGTTATATCTGATTATAGAATTTTTTTAAATTAAAATCAATTAATACTATAAAATTACATGGTCAAATTTAAACATAAACACAAACAACTCAACTCAGATTTTATAAATTAATTAATTCAACTAAAAATAATTCAAATAAAATTAAAATTATAAAATAAAACTCATCAACTCAACGAACTTAAATTCTAACTAGATTGAATACTCACCGTTAATTAAAAATAAAATAAATATTATAACAACATTAATTAGTATAATTTCGAATAGTAATTTGATTTCTCTTAATATGTGACACTAACTCGATCATCAACATAATGAAATCATTTTATTCAAATATTTGACGACCACAATATAAGAATCAAGATACCATAACAAAGTCAAGCAGACACAGCCCCTAAATAAAATCATCAAATGCTTTCATCCTCAGAAGATTGGTCTCTAAAAAAAATCATTTTCACTAGTTTTGCATCAACTCCAAAGTCCCCGTTTATATATTGGAGCTGTTGCTAACGTTTTCTTTATTTTAAGATGCCTTACTTTTTTGTTTTTCCTGTAAGAAAAATACATCATTGCTCAAAATTCTTCATTTCGTTTCAGTTCCGAAATAGACTATACTAACAAATCGGAGATTAATCAGGCAGTCGACTCCTTCAGATACGCAATGAGGCCGGCACGATCCTGAGGCTTCTTCAATCCAGGGAAAACCATCTTCGTCCCGGGAATATACTGTACAAAACAAAATGTACCAATGAAATTCCATTTCGAGAAGAGAAATGTTAGTGAAGTGAAAGTGAGATTAACTAAGCTAATCTAGGATAGATGTATCTATAGGAACGTAGCTAGAATTGAACTATGAAGGGGCTAAGTTGTTTAATTTGGAAACGAACAGGGCCCTAAAAGTAATTAAACCATAAAATTAAGGGAATTAGGTCTTAAAAAGTAATAAACCAGAAAATTTTGAGGGCCAAGGCTTAATTTCGTTAATTTTAAAACTAATGGGGTCCTAAAAATAATTGAAACAAAAAATTTGGGAGGGAATGGTTTTAAAACTATCAGTGGCTTAAAATGCAATTAAACCATCAAATTTGAGGGGGTGGCTCCCACCTACAACGTGGCTCTGTCCTTGTATATCTAGTTATCTACTTACTTCATACGAATCTAAACCCAGTCAATTGAACCAAAAGCATAATGCCGCCAAAATGCAAACATAGTAATGCTAATGGCAGATGCAGTGCAATAATCAATAACCAGATAAAATGACACGGACCATTGAGAACACATAGCTATGGCAGGAGAAATCAACATTAACAATGAACAACTACTGCGCCACATGAGAACAATTTTGTAAGAAATCAAATTCTTCGCTGAACAAAAGGAGATAATTTCTCGAAAACAAGTGTGTCATCCTTTTTACATAAACAACATTCGTACCACTTTATATCCTATACTTCAAGCCAGATAAAAAAAACATTTTTTCGCACAAAAAGGCCATCTTTCATTGATGGAACCTGATGATCAATCAATAGAATAAATAATGTTATGCCGACAACAAGGCAAGCAATATCAACCACTCCATGTAAACACTTCCTCATGCCAGCTAGCAGCTTCACCCACGTAAGGTTAATAACAAAATTTCAAGCGCCGGAAAGCACACTTTTTGGGAGAACTTTACTTTAAAATGCTCCCAATTAGACAGGGATTAGTCTCAAGCCCAATACGACTTTGGATTTACTAGATTGTTTTCATGCTTCAGAACAGACAATCAGTTCATAAGACAAGTGAATAGGAGAGCCCCTTCTACTAGATCATATCCTAAAAACAAGCTCATTGTAATATTAAAATATTATGACACATAAAGCATCACAGAATTCAGTCCCAGCATGGTTTTCCTTGTGTATCCAAAGGCTACAAACATACAACAGCACGCAAAGCTCATATCATTAAACTGAAAAAGACACGAGACTTGCACATACCTTCTTAGGATTAAGCAAGTAGTCATATAATGTCTTTTCTTCCCAAATCACAGCCATATTTTTGTTAGCAGCAGAGTAGGAGTATCCCGGAGTTGTGCCGGACTGCCTCCCGAAAAGCCCGTTCAAATTTGGTCCTGCAAATCCAGAAAATCTCAACTTATTCCCTAATCTTTAAAACAACCATGACCAATTAAAACCTCAACTGTTTCAGTTAGAAAAATGTAGATTAGAACCATCAATTGAGAAGGTTAATTTGGTTTTGAGTCGGATGATCAATTCGAATCGAATTGGATAGATTCAAGCTGGACAGGTTCCAGTTAGTGAATAATTAATAAAAAAAAGTTGATAAATCTAAGAACTCTAAGAACAAGCTCGGTCAAATATTTCTGACAAAAATTATTATTATTATTGAATGCAAGGAAAAAACATAAACGAAAATAACATGAAAGAGAAAGCCATATAAACAAGCAAGGAAAATTAATTTAAAAAACACAAAATAAATCAGATCTGAGAGAGGATGACCTTGCTTGTGACCAGCGCCTTTATCGACGGTGTGGCACTGAGCGCACTTGGTCTTGAAGATCTTCTCCCCGGCTTTCGAGTCTCCAGGCGGCGCTTGTTCGAATGTGGCCATTGCTTTTTGATTTCAAAGCTTTGATTTTGTTCGTCGATGGCCCTGCTTTGTTTGGTGTACCGAAGGTAGAAAGAACGGTGGAGCAAAGGTTTTGGCGTACTCTAATATATTAAGACTACGTACGGAAGCACACGAAGCACGCTCCGACCCCACACGTGAACACAGCTAGACAATTGAATTTTCAAATATCAAAATTATGGTTTTGGTTCTTGCGTTATATTTAAATTTATATTTTATACTTATATTTTTATTTGACATAATTCAATATTATATTTTTTAATTTCATTAGTTAGTCCAATATTAGCACATTGATTATCTGATCAAAATGTCAATGTCGATATTTAAAAGAAATACTTTTAAGTAAAACAAATTAGATTAATATAATATTTATATGTCAAAGGATCATATTGATTAATTTTTTTGAGTTTAAAGATTTAATTAACAAAAAAATTCAAAGGTTGAACTATCCCCCCCAAAGTTTAAAAGACTTAAAAAACCAATTGATAATAAGTACTCAATTTTTTTTAAAAAAATGATATATTTTAAATATTCACTTTGAAATATGTCTATTTTTTTATTAAAATGATATTTTCTATATTTATATTTTTATCTTTTAAATACATCTATAATATGTAATAAATATTTCTGGCAGCCATAATAACACATGACTGTGACGTAAGATTTTAATGGAAACCTAAACTTATAAGCTGAATTAACTGATCGACTGAATCGAATTAAGACTTGACCAATAGTAAACCGGTTTAATTAAGCCTTAACTCGATCAATAGTTGAATAAAGCACGAGATTGAACAATTAGAAGGAAAATCATCACATCTAAAATTAGAACAAAAGGAAAACAACCCAATAATAAAAATCCTTATTGAAAGCTAAACCCTTTACAATCAGTTTCTTCTTTACCACAAAATTGATATTCACCACAACCAAGCTCAGTTTCCTTGCCTACATTTCGTTTAGGGTCCATAAACATGTGTAGTAGGAGATCTCATTGGCCAGCCAACACGAGGCGAGCCTGGTGGGCTTCCGTCCCGGCTATGAGAAAAGAGGCTCAGCTCCACAAATGCTCCAGTTGAGGTCTCATCTCTTATGAAAGTCCGGAAAGAAATCGATCCACGCTTAGTAGAGGCATTGGAACTCCGCTCGGGGCTCATTGCAGCACTTCCTTCATGATGACCCTGATTAGCAATGAGTGAAGCGGTGTCGTTATGATCGTCAAGAACAACCCTTCTCCGATACTCCAAGTCATTAAGATTCCCGAGGGCTAGACAATCCGTGACAGGGCAGTATACAAGAATGACAATACAGACCCCAGCACAACATAGCATGACAAGGAAAGCTGAGAATGAAAGAGCTTCAAACAGAAATTGCTCTGGTTTAGATATAACGGATAAGCCAAGTAAAAGAACCCTTAATGGAAGGAAAGTCGAAATCAAGAAAATTAATGTATAAACTCTCTTCTGCAAACCCTTATTGATAACCAATTTCAAAATCCGCCTTCCGAGCCATAATAAATAGGCAGTCAAGACGGTCGCAAAAAGCCCAAGAAGAATAGTATTCAGTAAAGGGTAAGTGCAAAGAGCTATATCATCAGAATTTTGAATACCCGGGGTAGCTATTCTAGTGAAATACGGCGGTAACTCTGCCCTAACATCTAGTAACTCAGGTCCGATCAAAACAAGAAATAGTTGAAGAACAAACAACGGGAGGCAGAAAAGGAGAACAGATGCTGCTGTTTTCCCGTTCCATTTTCGACTTAGGATTCCTGTGTCTATATTTTGTAAAGGTGCACGAAGAAGAAACATGAGAATGAGGAAGAGGCAAGGTTCTGCAAAACCTAAATTCGAAACGATGTAACATCTGCAGACGTTCTTTTGCCATTTGAAATCAAGTGCATTCAACACTCTTCCTTGCCTCCTCAGAAAATTTAGCCGTATAATTTCACCAAAACCCCACCAAATGGTGAACAAAACGAATGTGATTCTAATGATCCAGGGACTACTGAAGTAACTGAGCTGTATAAATCCTTGTCTAAGAACATGAGAACGCAAGTAAAATGTGTATCCGATGCACACCAAGCCAAGAATAATCAACAGAGCAACTAGAGAGATTGTCAACACACCGAATGCTTCGGCAGAAATTCTCGTCAGGGGCATCACCCAAAACACAGATTCCACGCATGCTCTCTGCTAGCATGGACGCAAAGGATCCTCTGACATACAAGCTACCTTCCGAGAATTATTTCTAGAAGCAATTACTGAACCGCTACTGGATGATACAAAGATTAACCACCTAAGATGATGAATAAGCAGCATTATCAACAGAACTCATGTATCTTCTTGCCAGTCCAACAGATCCACACAAGTCAAGCTATCGACTCAAAACTAACAAATTTCATATGCAGTCAGTTCACCCACTAACCTTCAGGTTTTCGTTCTTTCAGACTTCAATTGTTTGACCCAAGAACCTGTGGAACAGGAATGGGGGACATAAATTAACTTGTAACCAAAAAATCTATCAAGTAAAAAACTACATCAAAAGAAAGATTTCACTAGCATGCAGAGAAGTTTGATGAAATCCACCTTATTTAAGCACACTATTTCTTCCATAAAAGAAAAAAGTAAAAAAAATGTTTCAGAATTTCCAGTTCAGAGGGATCTATCATAAAAACAAAGCAACGCATTCAGACACGTATAGCAACAGAGCAAGTCAGTGAGACAGATGCACATTCACCTGATATACATAAAACATCCTCAAGAAAAGAACTTCAAAATGTGTTGGATGAAAGACATATTAAGACCACTTATATAGCCCTCTAAATGTGAACAGATATGAACATATTAATGACATTACATGGCAGACACATCATACATGTAAAGTTGCACTGTGCAGATTAATCCATACTACCATATAAGAAACGTAACACCAGTTTTATTTATAGTTAGTACACAAGTATTATTGCCACTTGCATCACTAGTAATGTTTTTCTCATCGGGACAACGAATTCTTACATGTCATCTTAATTAAACATTTGAGACAACCAGTGACAGTACATACCATAACTGACCACATCAACATAAGCAAAAGTAACGCATCACTATTAATGTCTATGTCAGCAGGATAACAAATTCCAGCATGTCATCTAAATCACACATTTTAGATCGCAATCAATGACAATACAGACCATGTGCTTCTGCGTCAACATGCGCAAAAGTAATGCATCACTATTAACATATATGTCAGTATGACAACGAATACTGGAGTGTCATCTTACTTAAACATTTGAGACACCAATCAATGGAGGTAGAGACCATAAGTTTCCAGAACAACAAAACCAAAAGTAACGCATCATATAGACGAGACAAAATACAGATATTGGGTAAGAACTTGGACAAGTACGTCAAGAACTACATTGAAAGAAAGACAAGTTTATACAATATTAACAAATCAAAAGCTTCACATCATTTAGAGAAAAATACTAAAATCAATCCCTAATAAGCTTTAACCCGACTGAAAAGAGATAATCTGTAGTCATTTATGAAGCAGATGTTCAATCAATATATCCACATAGGTTAAAAGAAAAAAGGTTGCAAAAAAAAATACTGCAAAGAGAAATTTTAAGTGATAACACCCAAACGCATGCCCTTGACTACAAAGAAAATGAAATATAGCTAGCCCTACCATATCTCACTAGACACTTAGCATACTAAGGACATTACACTGAATGTTCCTTCTTATAGAAAACATCCAACGTGATAGGACAGCAACTTAGTTCCTTACAGTCACAACAAATATATAATATAGCATCAATGCCATAAAATCTCGGTATAAATCTACATAAGTTTGAAAGTTCTCCATTACTTTGACCTTAGACAAGAACATTGCTATCGAAGGAGAAATTCTTTCTTTATGCAATTAGCCCACTGGAACAAGTATGTTTTTTTTCTTCTAAGCTTAACAAAATTCTAAACGATCAGTTGCAAAATCTGTATATTTCTTTCCTGTTATTTACCCAAATTATTATCTTTAACTAATAAACACTCCAAATCTAAGCATTTCCCCCCAAAAAGGAACAAAATACTCAAATTAACATCAAATCTTCAACATTCATTGCCATCAAAAGTGCATGCAGTACAATCATTAAGGTAAAAGTACCAGAAAATATCCTAAAAATTCACAAAAAAAGAGCACACATACAGTAACTTCAACAACACCATAGCAAACTCCAAACAAAGTCAAAATGAGTGAAATTTAGAACAGCGAATAGCTTACGAAACGTATAATCTTAATCCGTCGAAGTCGGGAGACGAAATGCAGAATCGAACAGAAGGAGATCGAGGAAACCCTAAACTGGATGTAAAGTGAAAGCCCAAGATGCGGAGAGAGGAGAGAAGTTAGGGGAATAGGTGAGTGGGAATTTGTTGGTGACAGGCTGTCTCCAGCTATGTTATTCGAGCCACTTGCTTCGGACTTCTTCGGCTGGGACTAGGCTCGTGTGTTTCCCGTGCCTACGTGGCTTTTGCCCGTGCAGCGGTCCAAGTCGATTTTCTTATTTGATTTTGGTTAATTCAAGAAAACATCCCCAAACTATTGCAAATAGTCCAAATTCATCTAAAAATTTTGAACATTTTAATTAAGCCCTCAAATTATCATAGTATCATATCAATCAAGCCATTAGATAATTTACATTACTTAAATACTCCATCTCAATGTTAAAAAAAAACTCGGATCAAATGTGAAGCATATTCAAAATAGTTGAATCGAATTTTATACACTTGTGTATTATTATATTGATAGTTTAGATCTAACCCATCAAAAATCAAATTGTACATTGTGATAGATTTGCATGTGTTTTAAGTATATTATGCATCATATCAAAATTAATGTTAAATTCCTAAGTCGACAGAAGGATTTAATTGATACGTTATTTATAATTTAAGGAGTTTATTAAAATATTTTAAAATGTATAGACTAGTTTAAGATTAGATCATAGCTTGGGTAGGCACTGTGAATTTACTTAAATTTTTGAATAAATTAAATCGAGGTTTCTTTTTCTTCTTTTGGCATGTAATATGAGAAAAATAAAATAGATTTTATTTGTAAGAAGTGAGAAATCATTTACTTAATGTGGAATATGTGAAAGTCAGTAATGTTGAATTTTCTATAATCCTTATGTTTCTTTTTCAGATTCATTGCATTCATTATCATCTTTAAATATTATGCGTGAGATTTAAAAACTAGTAGTAGTATTTTTTATAACATATTCGATATCTTTAGGAAAAATAATATTTTATTTAACTATTAAAATTCTTGATGAGTTTGTTTGGTTTGAAATATTTAATTTATTAATCGATTAATTTAAATCAAATACGGTTAAGTCTTCTCTCTCGGTCCATGTTAGCAAGACTAACAGCGATTGAAGACGAGTCATCCTTTCCTTCTGATTTCTCGACTAGATTGAATTTCTTTTGATTCTGCTTGCGATTTGGGGGTTTTGTTGGCGATGTCTACGGGATCTGCAACTGATTAGAGAAAATTGTTTGCGGCGGGCAATGAGCAAGAATTAGATTTCTTCCCTCCAACGGAGATTGAGGGTTCGCTTATTGTGAAACCTTCGAAGCACATATTCGAGGAGGGGATCTTAGAATGGAGGTACGCTCTTGTTGGGCAATTTATAGGCTCAACTCCCAATTTTGGGCTGTTGCAGAAGACGATTGACCTGATGTGGAACAATGTTGCTCCGGTGAAGGTGAGCATTGCGGGATCCAATCTTTTGGTTTTTGCTTTTACTGGTTCGTATGCCAGGGACTGGGTTTTAGAGAATGGTCCCTGGCATATTCAACACAAGCCTCTTTTCCTTAGGAAGTGGGAGCCGAATTTGAAGGAGCTGCACTTCGATTTGGATCGCATGCCAATTTGGTTTCAGCTCTTCAATGTCCCCTTGGAATTATTTTCAAAGAGCGGTTTAAGCTACATTGCAAGTGCAATTGGTAAGCCTCTCACATGGACTCTATTACAGCTTCTAGGGAGAGATTGGAGTTTGCTAGGGTTTGTATATAAATTCCTGTAAATTCTAAGATTCCAGATTACATAGATGTGTTGCTTTGCGATGATTCTATTGCCCGAATTAAGGTTGTTGTTCCTTGGAGGCCTTCATCTTGTGTGGAGTGTAAGAGATTTGGGCATTCTGTTAAATTCTGCCCTCTGGGGAAGAAGCAATAATGGAGGGTAAAGCAAACAGTACATGAAGCTAAACTAAATGATACTGTAAATAATAGTATAGTTGAGGCTGAGAAGCAAAATCCTATAGTAGCTCCTGGAGGTAGCATTCAGACTGAGCAGATTGATCCATGTAATTCTGAAGGTGTTGTTGATACTTGTTTAGACAAGGCTCAAGCTGCTTCAGGGGATGGAGCTAAAGATGGCACTAAATAGATCACTAAGGAGGGTCCTCCTGGTAGCAACCCCCCATTGAAGCGTGGAAGAGGTAGGCCAGGTAAAACTACTATGGGGGGCTCTAAGAATAAATTTGAGATTCTGGCCTCCATTGATCTTGAACATTTGTAGCCGGTTGAGGACTCGGGTAAGAAGCAACGAGCAGCTTCGCTTGGGGTGGCTAAACTGGTCCAGGGTTTGAAATTAAAGAAGAAGGAGCAGGTTGACAAAGTTATGAAGCTGGAGGATAGAGGTTGTGCCTCTTCTTCCCTAAATCCCTTATGTTAATTTGCTACTGGAATGTTCGAGGATTTAATAATCCTCGCAAGCAAGGTATAGTGATGAGGTGGGCTGCAAATTGCCAAATTGATGTTCTCTGCTTATTGGAAACTCGAGTTAAGGTTGATAGCTCTTTGGCTATTCTAAGTCAAAATTTTAGTGATTGGGAAGCTTGCTGTAATTATAATCATACTGCCAACGGTCGAATTTGGGTTCTCTGGCATAAATGTATGGATTGCTCAGTTGTTTCTGTTTTTGACCAATGTATTTCTGTTAGATGTGCTATTGGGGGTAACACTTTTATTCTTACTGTTGTTTATGGTTTGAATGAGGGAAATGGTAGGAGGCATTTATGGAGTCAACTCAACTCTCTGGAATGTACTGTGGGAGATATTCCATGGCTTATAGGTGGTGACTTCAACATCATCTTGAATGTCGAGGAAAGCTCGGTTTATGTTAGTTCCTCGACTTTGGTTGACAGTTCTGAAATCCGGAATTGTGTGGATAATTTGGGGATTTTTGATCACCCCTACAATGGTCCTTGCTTCACTTGGTCAAATAAACAGCAGGATACTTATTTGGCTCATAAGCTTGATCGTGTCATGATAAACCCAAGGTGGATCGATGTTTTCCCATATTCTGCAGTGGAGTTTCAGGCCCCTGGGGACTCGGATCACTGCCTTGCCTTTGTGTGGCTCCACAAGGCAACCCCTACTGCAAGGCCAAAGCCGTTCAAAATTTTCAACTTTTGGGCCTTGCACCCAGGTTTTTTAAACATTGTGAGAGATTCTTGGCAGCAACCAATGGTTGGAAATCCAGCTCAGGTTTTGTTCCAAAAATTGAAGAGGTTGAAGTGCTCTCTCAAGGCTTTAAATAAAGCTCATTTCAATGACATTTCAAATAAGGTGAAACAGAAGCGAGAGGAACTCCTTAGTATTCAGCTTGCTAATCTTCAATGGGGTTCTACTGGCAGCAACATTGAGAATGAACTTCAAGTAGAAAGGGAGCTAAAAAATCTTGAAGAAGCTGAGTTACTATTTTACAAACAAAAAGCTAAAGCCAATTGGATCAAGGAGGGTGACCAATGGACGAAATTCTTCCACTCAGTAGTGGCTAGTAGAAGAAAGAGTAATACAATCAGAGTTCTCTATGACCAAGCGGGGAATAGATTGGACTCTTTTGATGGTATTTCGGCTGAGGTGATTAATTTTTTCCAGAATCAGCTGGGTTTGGTAGATGATAATATCCTGGGCAGCATTGTTTCTACTATTAGGGGTCTTCTTAATTTCTCACTCCCTACAGGCGCTGACGGCGAACTGTGCAGAGATGTTTCTGATGCTGAAATTAAAGAAGCCATTTGGGGGCAAGGCAATGATAAATCTCCTGGGCCCGATGGCTTTAATCCCTTCTTCTTCAAGAAAGCTTGGTCCATAGTGGGTGTGGATTTTGTTGCTACTATCAGGTATTGCTTTGACATATCTTTTATTCTCCCTGCCTTTAATGCCACTGTTGTAGTCTTGGTTCCTAAAGTGCCAAATCCTAGCCTTGTCAAGGACTTCAGGCCTATATCATGCTGCACAGTGATATATAAGATCATTACAAGGATTTTAGTGAGACGACTGTCTACTGTGTTCCCTAGCATGGTTTTAAAGAATCAAACTACTTTTGTTAAAGGTAGGAGTATAGTGGATAATACCCTCCTTCCCCAAGAGGTTGTTAGGGGCTATAGTAGAAAGAACATTTCCCCTAGATGTGCCTTGAAGTTGGATCTACAGAAAGCGTTTGATTCTCTCAATTGGATTTCTTAGTTGTTGTTCTCACTGCTCTTGGCCTTCCTGCTAGATTTATTAGCTGGATTTTTGCTTGTTTTACCAAGCCTAGCTATTCGATTGTAATAAATGGCAGTTTAGTTGGTTATTTTAGGGGGGCTCGTGGTGTTAGGCAAGGTGACCCCTTTCACCTTATCTCTTTGTGCTTGCCATGAATGTATTATCAAATCTATTGAACCTGGCTGCTCTTAAGGGGATTTTCAATTATCATCCCAATGTAAAGGATTGGTTTAACCCATCTTTGCTTTGCGATGATCTCCTCATCTTTTGCAAGCCTCTGTTGGTCTATTAGTGGTGTCAAAGCTGTTCTGGAAGTTTTCTATCTCATGTCTGGGTTGAGCTCAATATTAACAAAAGTGAGATTTTTGTAGCGGGGTTAACTGCTGCTCAATACACTGCCATCAGTGAGGGCACTGGTTTTAATTAGGCAAACTCCCTGTTCGCTACTTAGGAATTCCTTTGGTGACTAAGAAGCTCACGGAGAGAGACTGCCTTAGTCTCAATGATAAAATCAGAGCTAGGTTGACCTTGGGGAAAATAGCATTTGAGTTTTGCTGGCAGGCTCAGTTAGTGCGTTCTGTTTGTTCAGCCTAACTAATTATTGGTGTAGGCAAGTTATGCTTCCTCGGGGGTAATCAAGAAAGTTGAGCATTATGCTCTCGTATTTCTGGAAGGGTGCTGATCTTCCTGCTAAGGGAGCTAGGTTGAGCTGGAGACAGATCTGTCTTCCAAAGTCTGAAGGGGCCTTGGTGTTATTGATACAAGGATGGAATAGGGCTTGTTCTGTGAGTTGATTCGAACTTATTGGCTGATGAGGGTTTCTTGTGCGTGGCTTGGACTCGGTCTTATGTTATTAAAAATGCATATTTTTGGCATATGGTTCCTCCTACTGATGCTAGCTGGAATTTCAAAAAGCTGTTGAAGATGAGACATTCGGTTAATCATCTCTTTGTTAACCGTGATTGTCCCTCAGTACTAGGCAGTATGGGAGGACTTGCCATCGTGGCTCCAAAGGTTGCTTGGCATCATCTGGTTTGGTTTCCGGGCGCATCCCTAAGCACAACATATTCTGTGGATGGCCATTTTGGATAGGCTTCCCACCTGGGTTAGACTGATGCGAATGGGACTAGTAATAGAGAATGATCGATGTCTCTTCTGTGATTTGGTGCCTGAGACTAGAAATCACATTTTCTTTGAATGTGATTATGCTAAAAGCCTGTGGAAGGCCATCCTTCTGCTCTGTGGAGTTAACCGAAGAGTAAGCCACTGGGAAGGCGAGCTTTCATGGGCTGCTCACTGCCTTAAAGGAAAGTCCCTTCTCACGAGAGTGTTTAAGCTTGCTTTGACAAGCTATGTGTATGTCATATGGAGAGAAAGGAACAACAGACTGTATGGTGGATTGCTTAGGCCGATGAGTGATATCCTACTGAGCATTAAAACTGATATCCAGATTCGACTCGATGGTTGGCCAATTAACAAAAGTGACTCTAGGAACATTGCCCTTTGTGTTAGCTGGGGTATTTCATAATTGTGATGTTGTTTTCTCTGTTCCTTGTTAGCCTTTGTTTAGCCTTTGTTTTGTATCTGTTCTCTTTGGTAATGCTTTGCTATTAGATGGATGATGTGTTGTAATGAGTTGGTTTTTTTTTGTAGCAGAATTATGCTTTTTTGGGTAATGAAATTGATTATCCAAAAAAAAAATACGGTTCATAACATCAAAATTTAAATCTTGTACTTTTTTTTTACATTATACGACTGCATTTTAGAGTCTAACTTAAGATATTCTATCCCATTCGAATCATCTTGGAGGAGGGGAGAAGTTCCTCTGGAGAGTTTTCCAGAAGATGTGTCCCTCCATCTTTTTCGAGAGCCAACTTCACCATCCGAACAGCACAACGGTTTCTTTCTCTCCAGGTTTGATTAATTTTCGTTATCCATTTTTTATGAACCATTTGACATCTGCTTCAACAATCAGGTTTCTCGCCCCCAATGACTTGGCCAAAATCATACTTTGTCTGATTCCAGATCTCTGCCATGACGCTTTAAGTACTCTCAATATTTAGCATGAATCCATGGACCCAACTCCCATTCTCACCTCTAATCGATCCTCCGGCCGCCGTAAGTCCAGAGTTATTTTTGCAAGCTTCGTCCGTATTTAGGATCCAGCTCCCATTCGGTGGTTGTCTCCTTAACCTTGCTTACAATACATAAATTTAAATTATTAATAAAATAATATATATGATTTATTACATTATAAATATAATATAATATAGATGACTTTTGACGTTACTCACATGTGACTATATTTTTAAAAATAAATTACTTTGATGATATTTATATAAAATTAAATTTGAACATAATCCAATGAGTTGTTTCTATAATAAAAAAGGAACATTATTTTCGTTAGATGTTCTTAATTCCAAAATTATATATATATATATATATATGTACAAAAATTTAATAAAATATAAGTACATATAAAACAAATGCATGATTAAAATCATGATTTATTAAGAAAGGAAATAATAATAATTTAACTTGAACAGAGACAACTTAACCAAAATCATAGACAACTTTCAATGAAATGACTAAATTGAAAAAATATAAATTAAAAAAGAAATAATAATAATTTGCTAAGAAATATTAAATTAAAGTACATATAAAACAAAATGATTAAAAAGTAATTTACCAAAAAGTTATAAAATGCATGAATCCTATGATATGGGTTCAGTTTGGACACGAGTCAGTACAACGAAAACGACATTGTTTTGATATACTTATAAAATATTTGATTTTTTATTATTTTATTTTCTTCTTTTGCTTTCCCTTATTTTATGTCAACTTTCTCTAGTACATTTTCAAATATGACATAAGAATCTCATAAACCACAATACATAATCTACACGCATCGCTATTCGAACTTAGAATTTTTACAGAGATCAATATTTTCTTTCATTATTAATATCATTTGATGTGTTCACACTTAATATGACACTTAAACCAAACAAATCAATTTAACTATTTGATCAACAATGTAACACCCCCAACCTGTACCCGACCCGGATACGAATTTGAGGTACCACATTTACTTTTCGAAACAATTGCTCTTGAGAATGTATATAAAATTTAAACTCGAAAATTGTATTTTAGTGGTGAAACTCTTATAATAAAATTTCTATAAAAGTTCAAAATGAAAATATATCATTCGATAATTTACATAAATATAAGAGTGCATGCTTACAAAACATATCAGAGCATTACAATTTAAAGCTTGTAAAACATGTCAACAATTTACAAAGAACAAGAAACCTACGATTTAATTTGTTCTGATCTGATTTTTTGCGGTAGTATACTGTCCTCACCTAGCTTTAATCACCTGCTTTCTTCGATCCTACGTGTGAAACAATCACACACACTAAGTAGTTGACTTAGAGAGGCAAATACGAGTATAATAAAACATTATAAATACCCTTTCTTACTCATCTCATAGAAAACATTTCGAATGAATTCAAGTTAAAATTCATAACAAGAAAGTATACTCTTAGACCTTGTTCAGATATATCACTTTGTTTTTAATAGCCCAATGCATACTACTAAGAACGCTAGGTATTTGAGTACATTGAGGTTGTGCACTAATGCAGTCACCACTGCTCACATAAATTACATCGAAGTGCCACATAGTTTTGTCCCGAATGACCACATAGTTTTATCCCGAATGACCACATAGAACCCTCGACTCTTGGCATGCCAACTATACATCTAATTCTCATACATATACATTGTGTTTTTATCCACATAATTATTTATCATTTCATTATTCAGAGTGTGTCTTGTTCGCATAGGCACTTTCACATCGAGCATTTTCATATAAGCATATTCACATATCACATTGTCATAATCATGTTCATATAAAAATCAAAACATAGCTTAAGAGATATAACTTGAATAAAGCATTGTACATAAAATATGGCATAAGGAAATAACATGGTTTTCGATCGAAAACTCTGAGGTTGACTTATCGCAAGCCGCCCTCAAATCTAATATAAATAAAATGAGTTGCACTCACCTTTGCCTCACTTAAGTCCTAAACAAAATCCTTTTATCTTTTGCTAAATCAATTTAGTATAACGCTTTGATGGAAACACTTCTGATCCAAATCTACACGTAGATATATCCAATATCAATATCTCATTACATTAGCGTATAACCAAATTAGCATTTACAAAAACAAAACTAAAACTCTCCTTTAAATTTTAGACGCACTAGTATCGGTACCCATCTTACAGTACCGATATTTCTCTTTTATGGTACCGATACCCACTTCGTTATCGATACCATTTTGACATCCTAGATTTTTATTTCAAAAACAGTATCGGTACCTTCCTCTTGGTACCGATACCTCCACCTCAGTATTGATACTTCTTCAATCAGTATCGATAATGTTAATCGGATTAATATATTTTTCCTTCAATTTACCCTTATAATATCGATATTGTTCTTCCAATACTAATACCTTTACCCAGATTTTACCTATTTTACACACTCTTCACCTAAATCTCATATTTTCTGCTCCATTCATACATTCAAACTTGTCAGCACATATCCTAGTAAACATTTATCCAATAATCCCCTTATTACATCCAATTTCTTTATGGAATTCTTAAAAACTACAAATCACACCCTATTTTAAAACATGATCTTAATCAATTCTAATACTTCAAATCCCTTAATTAGACCTTTGACAAGTCAAAAATGCAATTAGAATCCAATTACTAGCCATATTTCATAACTTCACTTAAAAACTCATTTTTCTATTTCACCATTAATTCTTTAATCACTTAGTTTCTCTTCAACTTTTAACTTCATAAATCTTATATACTCCTCATAGTTTCACAACTAACCCACAAATTAAAGAAATAACCAAGTAGAATCATATCTCACTTTAGAATAGAAATTACGTTGGAAGAGAAGAAGAAGAAAAGATAACCCAATAAATCCTTTCTTTTCCTTTCCTTTCATTTCCTCTTTCTTATTCCACGTATTATATATTTCTTAAAAGGGAATATAAAAATTATTTCCTTTAAAAAGACCATAATACCCTTTCAATATATCATCTTTGATAACAAGTCCAATACACAAATTTCTAAAATTAGTCATTGAACTTTTTAATTTATTCAACTTAAACCACTAAAATTTAAATTTTTACATTTTCATGACTCGATGTTTGTGATGTTACAAACAAAATCAAACATTAATCGTTACGATGTCCATATACTGATTTATAATATTAATGTGACGATTATGAGTAATAAAACATTGATCCGTATCCGTTTGAACTAAATAGGAACTAAAATATGGATCACTATTAGAATCCGTACCCATTTGAACACTATCGGATCTAAAATGAGTAGTGACGTATATACCCTCTTCACCCTACAAAAACCCTAGTAACCTTCTCTTATTTTCCTCTTTTTCACACTCTCCTCCTTGCAGCGGCTACAAGGTTCTCTCTCATTTATTTTCCTCTTGCGCTTTATTTCTTTTTTATAAGGTTGCTACTCATAGCCTTTCATTTTTGTTTACGTTTTATGTTTTCAGATCTGAACTTTGAGTGTCATTGTTGTCAATCAAGCTATGACTTTGGTGAGTTTCTTTTTTCCCTTAACTCATTGAATTTGATAATTTGGCTGTTAAAAAATCATAGAAAACGAAGTGATTACTGAGAAGTCAGCGAATTGATTTTCAATTGGAATTCAAAACGTCGAAGTGAAAATTTTGAAGCAGCATGAAGTAGAAAGTTGAATATAATGTTATATTATTGTGCTCGTAATTAATGGAATAGTTGACAGATAAATATTAATATCGTTCACGATGGATTTTAAGATAACCACTTTTGGTTTCATTGTGATCGAGGAAAAAGGAAATGACTCTTACTGCAGAGAGTTGTTTTAAGATCTAAGGTGGTAGATTAATCGTGTATAATAGGTGGAGATGCTGAGTATTATCAATTTTAGAATGTGAAAATAAATGATGCTTTTTGTGAAAACAGTGAGATCTGAGTTCAGATTTGATATGATTATGTATTTGAAAGATTTACAAAAATCTTTAAGAATTTCAAATCTACTGCTAAAAAGGCAACTAGTAAATTCATAAATGTCACATTTACATTACATTTGTTTTATTTTGCAATTTATGCTGTTTATGATCCAAATCCATTTTTCAGAATTTGGGTTCAAAAACACAACCTAAAAGAATTCCTTAATAAAAAATAATCCGTCATTATTAGATTAGGAGTGTATTTTTTCCTTTCTATTTATAGGAATTGATTGTGGCGTTTGGTGTTGGAATTACCTTTTTAAACCTTGTGGATGTTTGATTTACATGCAGGTCTTGCATGCCGGAAACACAAACAAAAATGCCTTTAAGGCACTCATTGCCGCAGAATACAGTGGTGTGGAGGTCAAATTGGTTCAGAACTTTGAGATGGGTGTCTCGAATAAAACTCCCGAGTTCCTCAAGATGAACCCCATTGGAAAGGTAACCATGCTTATTAATAGATTAAATTTTGAGAGACTACTTATTCATTTGTAAGTTGGACTATTTTTCTTTGAATTCTCTGAAAGAATATCTGTGACTTTTATATAGGTTCCTGTGCTGGAAACACCCGAGGGTCCCGTATTCGAGAGCAATGCTATTGCTCGTTATGGTTAGAAGAGACAAATTGATATCTTACATTTTCTTCCGGTGATGGTTGTTTACTTATTGATATCCTTACTTTCATTTGCAGTTACTCGCTCAAAGGCTGACAACCCTCTACATGGTTCTACATTGATTGATTATGTGAGACTTTCTTACTACTAATACCATGATCTTCTGGCATCGGTTAAGTTTATTTCAAATCATTATACTTACTGTTTGTATATATATTTGCTTGATTTCTATCAGGCTCGTATTGAACAGTGGATTGATTTTGCATCCATGGAAGTTGACGCTCATATTGGAAAATGGCTCTATCCAAGATTGGGTTTTTTTGTTTACCTTCCTCCAGTAAGTTATATATACAGTAGCTTTGGAGTTTTTTTTAATTCCTCAGGTTCTTGCATCATTTTAATTGGTTTTATTTGCTAAATTCATGTTTAGTATCTCTTCTATGATTCTTGTTATATGCATTTTAAAGAGGATCAAACCGTTGTAGGGCAAATTCTGTAGGCACTTCATACAACTGTTTTGTGTTCTTAGTTTCTTCAAATTAATGGATACAAGCTCTTTGATTCCTTTGATGTTGTCATTTTTCTCATCTAGTTTTTGTTGATTTTCCAATTTATCTGAGTAATGTAGGCTGAGGAAGCTGCTATTGCTTCATTGAAGAGAGCACTGGACGCATTAAGTATTCACCTTGCTTCCAATACCTACCTGGTTGGGCACTCAGTCACCCTTGCTGACATTATCATGACATGCAACCTCTATTCGGGTTTCACCAGGATCTTGACGAAGAGTTTTACCTCGGAATTTCCTCATGTTGAGAGGTACTTCTGGACCATGGTTAATCAACCAAATTTCAAGAAGATTATCGGTGAAGTAAAGCAGGCAGAGACCGTGCCACCTGTTTCATCAAAGAAGCCTGCAGCCCAGCCTAAAGAGACTAAACCAAAGGCCAAGTCTGAACCAAAGAAAGAAGCCAAAAAGGAGGTTGAGAAACAGCCAGCGAAGGCAGAGGCTGCAGAGGAGGAAGAGCCACCAAAGCCCAAACCAAAGAATCCTCTTGATTTGCTGCCTCCCAGTAAGATGGTACTCGATGATTGGAAGAGGTTGTATTCTAATACAAAGACAAATTTCCGCGAGGTTGCAATTAAAGGTATCCCTTGTTGATTTAATTACTTCTTGTTCCAGACTGTGATTTCCAAATTCTGATTTATTTCCTCGTGTCTTCTTATTGCAGGATTCTGGGACATGTATGATCCCGAGGGATACTCACTCTGGTTCTGTGACTACAAGTACAATGAGGAGAATACAGTCTCGTTTGTCACCATGAACAAAGTAGGAGGATTCTTGCAGAGAATGGATTTGGCGCGCAAGTATGCTTTTGGTAAGATGCTGGTGATTGGATCCGAGCCTCCATTCAAGGTCAAGGGATTGTGGCTCTTCCGTGGGCAACAAATCCCTCAATTTGTCCTTGATGAGTGCTACGACATGGAACTCTATGAGTGGAAGAAGGTCGATATCACCGACGAAGCCCAGAAAGAATGTGCGAGTCAGATGATCGAAGACTGCGAACCTTTCGAGGGGGAGCCTCTGTTGGATGCCAAGTGCTTCAAGTGATGAGTTAAACTATGTCGCTGCGTTTAAGCTGAACCTATTCTCTATGCTATAATTATTCCAGTTTTGTTTTTGGTAGACTTGTGTGTGTCATTATTTGGGAAATCAGATACTCTTTTTCTGATAGTAACCATATAAATTATCATTACAACCGAGTTTTACTCGTCTGATGTTCGAACTAGGTTCGATTTAAGTTCTATTTTTGTTTCACAATTGATTAAAAAGACTACCTCTTTCTGTTGCTGTTGCTGTTTTGTACTTTTGTTCTTGTTTTTGTTTCATAATGCTCATCATTAATCGTGTTTATTTTAATCCAATAGGTCAAAATATGTTGTTTGTTCCTGGATTTCATCCCTACACTATGACTAATTTTAAATTAGTCTCTAAACTTCCAAATTCATCTCCAAAATATAGTCCTATTTTATATTGATTCCGAATTTTTTGAATGTTCTAATTTCATTCTTAAACTCTTGAATGATTTGGGGCTATGTTAATGGAATATTTAAAAGTTTGAGGATCAAGAATGAAGGTTATAGTTTTGAGTTAAAATTGGAATGTCCAAAAGTTTATGTTTCAATTTAAAATAGTTTTTCGAAATGAAAATAGAAATAGAAAATACAAAATATTTTCTCAAATTAAACCATTTAAAATTTCTAATGTAGTTGATACAATTGATATTTTGTGTCAATTTAGATGTTATAATCAGTATAATGTAGAGAAAAAATCATAATTAAATAAAAACAAAAAAATGGAATTCAAATATCTTTAAGAATAAAAGATAAAGACATTGATTGAGTTTTAACCATAAGAGAATGGAATTGTTCCAAATTGAAAAGAAAATAAACATTAAATAGAACAAGATTATTTGATTGATTTAATAAAATGAAATATTATATTCTTAAATACTCTTAAGAGTACGAATTTTTTGTCTTATAAATGTAAAATTAAATTAAGAAAATCGATCTTATAATAAATTTTTATATCATCTGATTTAAATTGATCGCTCAATATATCAAATAATAATAATAATTATATAAAAATATTATTTATTCAATATGAAATAAATAAATAAATCCATTTTTTTCACGTATCAAATTATACGTTTGATTAATGTTTATGGATAAATCTGATATTTAGCCCTAATTTTTACATATATCGCATTGCAAAACCCAGCTTCTTTTGTATGCTGCAAAAGACCGACCTCGTATTCTGAGATGACTGAAAGTTCAAGGAGTAGATCGCTGCGTTTTCTGCTGTTTTTGGCTTCCGTATCCCTGCAATTCGTTTCAGGCATGCTTTCTACACTGTTTAGTACTCGATATATTTTGTTATTTTTCTTAAATGAAAGATCGAATTGATTTGGCTGGAATTTGAATCATTAATCGCATGAAAATCAAGTTAAAACTATCCCTCTATCGAGATCAGACGATTTATGTGTTGATATTGTTTCGAATCTCACCTTTACTTATTAGGTTTTTCTAGTACTTAAATTTCTCATGTTTGGCTGGTGAGAATAAAAAAGCGTCGAAAGAACTGCTTTTTAGGAATTGCGATTCGGAGAAACTTTAGCTGTAAAGTTAGGATTTTTTACTTCGAAGAATGAACCGTTCTTCTATTCAAATTTGCTTTTGAGAATCTTGAACTCTGTAATAAGTAGGCATCTGAGGTTTCATTCTCCTTGATCCAGTTTCCGTGAAACTTAGGGAAATTATGATTTCGATTTCGCATGAAATTATGCTGTTACGCATATCTAATCTATATCCATGAACTTTTGTTGCATGCATCAATAGTTTGAACCTTCTTCAGCTGAATTTGTTAGAACAATTATTTACGTTACCGTGATGGACTTTAAAGTAGAAATTGTTCTTATTACTTCTCGGCAAGTTATTGAATACGTTAACACGATTTGCTCCAATTTGTTACCCTTTTTTTTCAGGTTTTTCGGATGACTCCCCAAATTCAAAAATCAGCACAAAGAAAAAGTCGAATGGAAATAGTAACATTTGGATCAAGTTAGTTATCATATTGATCGGGCTAGCTGCTGTGGGTTTGCTTTCGTTCTTCCTTTTCAAGGTATGGCAGAAAAAGAAACGAGACAAGCAACATGCCCGTCTTTTGAAGTTGTTCGAAGAAGATGGTGACCTCGAGGCTGAACTTGGCCTTCACGACTGAAGGCATCGTTTAAAACTGAGCTCATCCTCTTTGAGTTTGAGGTGTGTAAATAAACTGTCTTTCAGTACTGGTGAAAAGAGATTCAGCTACATTGTTTAGTTTGTAAGGTGAAAAGAGATTTTCAGTACTGGTGTTCGTATTTAGTAGTTGCATGTAGATGAAAAACTGTGTAACCATATCCAATTATGCAGATCTTTGGGGTTCACTACAAACCGCAGTCTCCCCTTGCATGTTAAAGCTTGAAAATCAAGTCTATATACTATAATATCAATCATGTGCATCTGTGTCAATCTGTCTCCTTTCTGCATATCCATGGATGCAACACAATAGATGATAGCCAAGTTGATGATAATGGGACTTAATGCCATCACTGATAAGGAATGTGAATCTTGATGATCATTAAGATTGATTCATGTTGATTTGTGACTCAATTTCAAAAAATAGAGGTATAGCTAAAATAATGAGGAGTGGGTTATTTTCATAACATTATATGGAGAAATCATCTGGATAGGACGGAGAAGATGACCAAGATGTGAACCGTCATTGCCCTAAACCGAGAGTAAGCATTTAACAGCTCAGTTGGTAGAGCACAAGGTTCTTAACCTTGAGGTCGTGGGATCGAGTCCCACGGAGGGCATTTCATAATTCGGAGGTCTCTTACGGAAGCTGCTCTCAACCTGGTGTTGGGGGTAGCCTACTATCTTACCTCTCCCTTACCCCATACATATGGGAAAAAGGGACAACCATTTTTTTTTCCAGGTTCAATCATACCATCCCAAATGTTGGCCAATATCGTTAATTCCGAGAATAATATAGATAATAAAAAAATTAATGATAAAGAATGAATGATAAAGAATGAGTTTACTTATTTTAGGATTGTAAGAATTACAAAAATCGAAGATCATAATCGTACATGAGAAGATAAAATAAATCAGATTAAACTTCTTAAATAAAATAAAATAAATAGAAAAAAATAATATTTTCTTTATTGATCTTTTGATTGGAAACAGTTGAGACGTGTTGCTACACAATTTCCTTAAGATAGATTTTCGACCACTCCTTTGGTGCTCGAGATTGTTGGTCGTCTGTCTCCCAGGATACAACAACTAGGTGATCAACTACAATAGCACAATTGTAGATATCACAAACTATTTTTGCCTTCATCTATCCGAAAAACTAAGGAGAGAAAATATTTTTCAAGAAAATAGAAGTTCTTGAATTCTAAGATATAGAAAACTTGTTCTGAAATTGTGAATAATCTGGCAGATTAACTCAGTATTTATAGGGGATTTTCAAGAGAGATTTACTCCAACTAAATATTTTTTAATATTCAAATTTAAACAGATAATAATATCTTTTATTTTGAAATATTCAAAAGATATAAACTCCTTTTACTATTCAAACTTAAATAGATATTATTTAAATTTAAAATATTCAAAATGATATAATTATATTTAATATTCAAAGTTAAACAGGTAACAAATACTTTTTGATTTGACATATTTAAAAAATAAATATCCTACTAATATTCAAATTAAAAATATCTTTTAATTTATAGTATTCAAAAGTAACATGAATTTAATTTAAATATTAAATCCATCAATGAAATTCACTCTTTTTCCAACACTCATAACCATCAGCAAGGAACGATAGGAACAATGGTTTCCCATCGATGCATAAGAGGTCATCTTCCCGACTTGGTTCATTTCATTCCTGTATTGTTGAAGGGTGACATAGTCAAGCTCAATCTTGGGCTCTCTTCCCTTAATGAACCATTCAGTAAAGCCAACTCCCTAAGCTGTTGTTTCTTATAGTTATCCAAGGTTTCATCCTGAAGATTGGTGGAAAGGGAGGAGTTGAAACATATAGGAAAAAGGAAACAACAAATTGCTTTTGTTCATACCTCAGGCTTCAGAAGATTTTCTACTATGGCAACGACATAGTCCAAACCAGAACTTTATCACATCTTCGGCAAGTTCGTCTCCATCAGCACATGTAGCGGCTCGTTAAGGTGTTCGTATCCGGGTTTATCTTTTAGTTTCTCTTCCTATAAAAAAGAGTCAAACCAACATCACAAGAGAACCTGATCTTCGTATATTGTATATCGGGGTTTATATATCCTACTTAAATTATGTTAACCAAAGTATACAAGTAAAAAATAAAAGAGTTCACGACCTTAACAGAATCCTTGACAGAACCCTTACCTCTTATGTACACCCTGCACTACACCCTGTCACAGCTTCAGCACTCTTCAGGGAGTTAGTTTCCTCGTGGTCCCAAAATCCGACCGACGAAATTATACTGTGAATGGTCAGAGTCAGAAATATTATCTTAAAAAGGACGTAAAACCTTGGCTCGAGATGTTGGTGTTACGTACACTATGATATTGATCTACTGGTACATCAAGTCTTAACAACTCGCTTTACAATTGGTATTATCGGGGCTACAGGGGAACAAGGCCAATGACAAGCGTCGTTTTCGGTCAAAATAATTTCTCATCCCAAAAGAAAATTAAAGAAAATATAACAAGTGGAAATTAAGGGTTGATCTCACAGAGACTATGTAGTTTCTGATTTAATTATTTTTTTAACAGTAGAGTTTTGATAGGAATGAAATTCAAGATTAAAAATAAATAAATATAAAAATATAAAAATAAAGGTGATATAAAAATAAGATAAAATAAGAGATTTTGAAAGACTGTTTGAAAATAAGATAAATAAAAAATAATAAATAGAATAAAACAACAATTTAAATTTGAAAAGAAGACTTATTGTGAAAAATAGTCTCAGGCTTTCAGCTTTGACTTAATTTTCTCAAATCATCGAAATATATCTTTATTTCAGGATTCACACCAATTACTTATCTATAAGGACAAATGCTTGTGACTATGCTTTGTATACCGAATACCCAAGTGTAATCTTTAATGTCGGTTTGTGAATTGATCTAAGCAACAACAATGTTGTAGATTTAAAAACGTTGAGACTTTAAAAGCTACCGACTTGGATTATGTTTCCAATCTCAGTTTCCTCTTAGTAAACAATTTTGCTAAGTTTGTTCACATGAAGTCGAATGTACTTCAATAAGCCGATCCTTCCTCCCACGTTAACCATAATAACATCCAGACCAACGTCGACTTTTGGTTTTAAAAATTGTTTTGATTTGAAAATAAGCCAAAAAAACAGAGAGATATCCGAAGCGATTTAAATGCCTTACAATTCTCACGTTTGAAATTGAGTCATCGCTTTAGCCTTCGACTTTAAAGAAAATTAGCTGAGCATGACAAAAGTAATACTTAGTATATTTGAAAAACTTAAAATAAAAAAATGAGAATTTGAAAAAGAAAAGAAATAATTTTATAAAACTAGAAAGAAAAAGAAGAATAAATTCTGAGAGATGTGTTTTTAGGCTTACACTGAGAGGGTATTTATAACATTCAAAATCCTAAAAACAAGGTAAATATAATTCATAAAATAAAGAAATAAATCTTAATTAAAATACTTAAAACTATTTAAGCTAAAATACTAAAAACAAAGATAAGATAAAATATAATATTAAAATAATATCATAAAACATGAGTTTAATTCAAATTTGAATTGCAGAAACGTGCGGTTAATCTATTCGTTCTTCTAGAAGGTGCTGACATATTTGCCTCGTAAGACGCGTCATACCCAAAGTCATGCCAACTAATCTAATTTTGATTCCGAAAATTAAAAAAAAATTACATTTTAGTGCAATTTCTAGAATATAATGTCCTGAATAGAAAATGAATCAAAACAAACAAATAAACCACAAAAACCAACCACCATTAAGGAGCAATTTAAAAACAAAATAATAACCAAATGAAAACTTATCAGCCAACATAACGATGCAGCTTGAATTGGAGCTCCTCGGTGCAGATGCCCATTTCCCTGAAACAGATAATCACATCAAACAGTACTGGTGTGATTTAGTGTTTATAGCAATTATACATCATCACCTCTGTTCTCATTACAGACCATCCCTCCAAACCCATCTGTCTTCCCTCGGGACGATGACCAAGTGACCCAAAAGGACGATCATGCTCGAATCTCTCATGACCCACAAGACTAAGACCAAGACCTGAGACCCTTCTGATCTCTGCAGTGCATCAGGGGACAAAAAAATGAAAGAAGTTGGTCGATATATCCTCCAAATTACCTGCATTTACATTCCTTAGTAGAGCTCTCTTGTACGACATGCTTAGGTAAGGCTCTGCTTGGTACAAAGGACGAAAATGAGTGAACCGAAAAAAAATGTTGTTAATCTAATGGTTAAGCTAGAGTATGAATCTTAATTATTTGATCATCAAAATTTCCATCTCCACTAATTTGAATGTATAAAGCCTAAAGACACATAGAAGCATCTAGTTTATGACGTCCACTAATTTGAATGTTTAAAGTTCAAATCAGTTGATAATCTAGCTAATCTAGAACTAAATAGGCCAATTACATAGCTTGGTGGACAGTCAATCCTACGCTGACATTTAAGAATACTTCATCCTCGTATTCATGTGATGAATCTTTATATTGCAGGCGAAAAGGGAAACAGGAGATTCAAGCATGGTGCAAAGAGGCAGAACTTGTGAAAAAGGTCCCAATTTCTGTTGCTCTGTTAATATTTCAGCTAAGTACCTGCCATTGTTACTTATAACGATAAGTATGTGTAAACGAAAATGATCGCAAAGACAAGTACACACGTATTTACGTGGAAAATCTTAAATGGGAAAGATCACAAACATAGAAAAGAAACTCCACTATGTCCGCAGAAAGAATACAAAAGGATTTAATAAAATACATCCAACCCTATTATCCTGGATGCTTATATACAGGTGTACAGACACAGAAACCAACATTCACACCCTAACCTTGCTTGAGATCTCTCAACTCAAATTTTATCCATTAACAACGTTAATATTCGAACCCTCTAACCTTACTTAAGATCTATCATTTTGTCTTATTTGATTTTTCAAATTTAAATGTAATTAAATTGTTACAACTCAAACAAATAGAAAAAAAAATCAAATAACATAAGAATATGTAAATGAGTCACCCTCAACAAAGATATAAAAATATAATAATCAAAATTAAAAAAAAATCCCCAAATTTTATAAAAATATAATTTCTAAAACATTGCATAAAATTATTATACTATAAATATTTTATTTTTTTTTACTTTTTTCTAAATTATAAATTTAGAGATTTTTAAATAAATAAATTATCAAATCAAGATTTCTATATTAAAGAATTTTATCTTTTATTTTCTTTTGATAAAATTTTAAATATAATATTGAATTTATGTGTTTTTAGCTTGTAAATTAATAAATAAGGCTTTCCTTTAATATACATTTTAAAAAAAATTAATTTAAAACAAATGTTTCAAAAAAAATCGATTAAATTCGATTGAGTGCTCTCCATTATTTGCAACCATTTGTCAAAAAAATTGATACGCAGAGAGACCCATAAATTTTTAGTCTAAAGTAATTTAGATCCCTATAAGTTTTTTTCCTTTTGATAATTTTGGGTGAAATAAAGTAGTATTTATTTAAAGACCCTTAATTATTTGACATTAAACACTCATGTCCTTACATATTAGCACTCGAACCCAGTACCTCAAGGAATAACAACATTCTTTTTACCATCGATAACTCTATCTATAAGTTTAAATATTCTATCGTTAACCTAAATGAGTTGAAAGTTGAAACAGTCAACTTCATGTATTTGCAACTTTGGTGGGCATTAATTAATGCTCTATCATTAATGCTTAAAATTTGCAACTTTCGTGGACATTGTTCTTCCGCTCCATGCATAAAAAGGTAAAAGAAAATCAAACTCCAAACACCATCAGAAACACAATAAACCAGACATAATCATGTCCCACGCCAAGGAACAACCGAGCCAGACCAGCGAGCTGCTCAAAGGTTTACCTACAGACACCAGCCCTTACGCCAACTACCAAGACGTAAAGGACTACGACACCGGAGGACACATGCAACTCCAGCTGAAGAGACCGGAGAGCCGCAGCAACGACGCCCCCAGGTTTTCCGGGCCGGACGTGCATGAAACCGATAAGCACGTCCTCCTCAATGCTACCTCCCACTAGGGCTGGCGGTGTCCCCTAACTTCTATATGTTGTTGGGTTGTTGGCGGGCATTTGCTAATGAATTGTAGCAACTTTGTGTTTTTGCCAATAAATGTCACTTGATGCTTCTTCCTTGTAGATTCAAGCTTCAATTGTAATTCATTACTAATTAAATAAATTTTCACTCGTTGAACTAGAGATGGAAGCCGGGTGGGCGTGACGTTCGATTTTGATTCTATTTTTATGTTCATCGTTTTAATTTTACTCGAGTTTAATTTTGTTAAAATATTAGAACTTGAATCTAACCTCAAAGATGATTTTTCTTTAAATCTAATAAAATTTATATAATTTATAATAGTAAGAGATTAGATTATGCCAATCTAAAGTGGAGTACTAAGTATCTAAATTGGATATAGTATAAGGATCAAAATCACAATTTTACTCTCTTTTTTTTTAATTACGGTACTAAATCGTCTATTACCCGAGCTAGGTATGATCACAAATACAACAAAACTCTCTAATGAAATATTTAAAGCCATTTTTAATGACTCAATCTTGAGATCTTATTAAATTGGAATGATGCCTCATTAATGATAGATCTAAAAATTAAAAGATAAAAGTTTAAAATTTTAATATTCTTTAAATAAAAAATAAGTATATAATTTTTTTCTATTTTTTTTCTCCTATTAAATTTAATAATTTTTTCAAAATAATAAGTAAGCAATTGCTCCCTTTAAGATTACATACACCCACTTGAAATGATCACTAAATATATGTTGAAACGATCTTTTTGATCATTAAAATTCTGTTTGTTATAAAATAATAAGTAAATTTATCAAACTGTTACAAAATGATCACTATACTTTATAAAATAGTGATAATTTTGATAAATTCAAGAAATATATTGTAACAATTTGATTAATTTAATGATCATTTTGTAATGGTTTGATATATGTTAATGACTATTTTGTAACTTTAAAACCTTGAGTGGCCAAAAAGATTATTGTTGTATAGTTTAGTGATCATTTGTATACTTTACCCTTGTTTAATGAAAATCAAAACAGCCGAAGTTAACTTGGGACGACAGTGCGACACGTTGACTGGCCTAGATCCTCCACTTAGATTTTTTATGTCTTAACGTGGCACTTTATATGGTCCTAATTCGTCCATGGCTTCCCTTCTCTCCCACTGTGTGTTTCTACACGATATACTTCCATAGTTCCAAGCTTCCATCACCAGTCGAAGCTAAACAAACCCAGATTCCACAATGCCTCTCACTTTTACTCTCACCCCCTTCCTTTCACCCCCCAAAACCCTTCTCAAACTCACCTTCAAACCCCACCCATCAAAAGCCAGAGTTTCTTCTTCTCCAACAAGACACATTTACCATCATCTCCCTATTGTCAACTCTGTCAGTTATAACTCCGAACACCTACCGGTCACTCCAGAAAAACCCAGATGGGAGAACATGCTAGCCACTGCTGCAAGCTTGTACCCTTTGTATGTCACGGTTGGTGGCATTGTGGCTTGCTTTAAACCATCTGCTTTCTCTTGGTTTGTGCAGAGAGCACCTTCTTCCTACAGCTTCTCTCTCGGGATGATTATGTTGGCTATGGGTCTCACTTTGGAACTCAAGGACTTGCTCAATTTGTTCATCCAAAGACCCCTTCATGTGAGTGATTTTCATTTATGACAATGGTGCTTAATTTACCTGTAATTGTAAGTTGAGTTCTTTAGTGAAAATTTAGAAAAGGGTTATTCTTCAATTTTCAATCCGAGTTGTTTTTCTTGAATTTTATTAGAACTAAGATGAATCGTGGCTGAATTTGTAGTATGTATGCCTCTTTAAGTGCTATTAATTGGAACTGTAAACAGAGTTTACTGGGGGCATTGATGGATTGGCTGATGCTGCGTATGCCATAGACACGACTCAACCTGCCGGTCGTGTCGTGAGAGTATAAACCGAAATTGTCCTCAGATATGCAACATATTGTTTATACGTATGTAATGTTATTGTGTTCATCTTATGTTAAGGAATAGATGCTTTAGGATTTAGCTTAAGAGCTCAGATTGATCTTATATATTGGGGGATTGTTGGATTGGCTGATGCTGCATATGTAATATACCTGACTCAGCCGTGAGAGTATAAACCAGAATTGTCCTCGAATATGCAGCGTACTGTTTATACCTCTGTAATTTTATTGTGTCATCTTATGTGAAGGGGTAGATGCTTTAGGATTTAGCTTAAGAGCTCAGATTGATCTTATATGTCACATAATTTTTGCCTATGAACCTCAGTTTTTCCTTTTCTTTTTGCCCTTTACTTTCATCAGATTTTATTTGGATTCGTTGCTCAGTACTCGATTATGCCAACTTTTGCGATGGTTATTAGCAAAACTTTGGGGCTTTCACCATCTCTTTCTGTTGGTTTGATTTTACTAGGTTGTTGCCCTAGTGGTGCCGCATCCAATGTGGTAAGAGTTTCTTTCATGGAAACTTTTTGTTTCGAGGATGTTTTTGTCTTCTTGGTATATACATTTGCTTTTTCTCTGCAAAGATACCATCATTTTTGTTTTCTGAAAAGCGCTAACAGGTGACCTTAATTGCTCGAGGAGACGTTCCGCTATCGACTGTATTAACGGTTTGCACTACTTTTGGAGCAGTAATTCTCACTCCTCTTTTGACTAAGATTTTGGCAGGGACTTATGTTACTGTAGATGCTATTGGACTTTCCATCAGCACCCTGCAGGTCTAGCCAACACTATGCTTCACTCATACAATCATCGACGCCTTTTCCGTATTTTTATCTTTGCTTTCGATATTCATGCATCTTATAATTTCTTGTCCAGGTGGTTGTCACTCCAGTTTTGCTAGGTTCTTATATACAAAGCTCATTTCCTTCAGTGGTGAAAATTATCACACCATTTGCTCCTTTATTCGCTGTTTTATCCTCATCACTACTCGCTTGCAGGTGATTCTGTCGTTTAAATTTATCTGCTGCATACTCACCAGTTTTACCTTTTGTTTATTCATTTAACTTTTGGTTTCCGGGATTACATGCCAGCGTTTTCTCGGAAAATGTTGTCCGTTTTAAGTCCTCGATAGTTGATGCATCATTGGCTTCCGATGGCTCTCTAGTCACTCTCCTCCAGTCAATATCATCTGGAGAGCTTGGTACTGTAATACTTTCTGTGCTTTTGCTACACTTCGCTGGTTTCTTTGTAGGGTAAGAGTTGCTCCTCGTTTTCATTATATTCGAATGTGAACTTTTCAATGAAACTAAGAAACGGCTCAACTTCCCCATTTGCAGGTACATATTTGGAGCTATTTGTAGATTCAGAGAACCAGTGCGGCGAGCGATTTCAATCGAGGTAATGTGAACTTTTTTTTATTTTTATTTTGGCATCGCTACAGCTGTGATTATGCATGATGACATGCAAGTTGGTGAATCTCTCTACACTCAGGTTGGCATGAAAAACTCTTCATTGGGAGTGGTATTGGCAACATCTCATTTCACTTCTCCGATGGTAGCGTTTACGCCGGCGATGTCGGCCGTGATAATGAACATAATGGGAAGCAGCTTGGGCTTCTTTTGGAGACATATGGGTGGTTCAAAACAGGAACTTGATGATAATCAAGAGTGAGGTTGAATTCTCTGCCTCTCTCTTTTTTGGTAAGATGAACCGTTTCTTTTCTAAAAGCTCTCAGTTGGGGGATGTTTGTATCAATAATATATTAATAAAACGAATAGAAAAAGTGTCCCCACTTCGATGCAGGAACTAAACGATCCATTCTCTACAAGATGATTGTTATCCTTTAAGGTTATTGTCCACAGAAATATTTGAACATTCATAATGAAACAATTGAGACTTTTTAATTAGGGGTGAGCAAGACTTATCCCAAAATCGATTTTTATTTTTAATTTGGAGTTATTCGAGTCAACTTAAATTATCGATTTGGTTTTCGAGTTTGAGTCGAGTTGAAATTTAAAAATTTTGAGTTACTCAAAAAATAAAAATTTGACTGATTATTTTGATAATTTTGTGATTTAGTCTTTAATTTCCTTATTCTTTCAATTTCCTGTTCATTTTAAGTTCCATTTTTATTAAATATGAACCATATACTCCTAAATAGAACATCAATATGCTTTTAATTCCTCTTTTTGAAAGCATTTTTTTTAAAAAATTTTTAATTTATTTTTTCAATTTTTTATGATTTTCTTACAATTTAACCTTTATTTTAATTCTATTTTGTTTTATCAAATTTGAATCACATGTTTCTATACTAGTATACAATACTTATGTAACTTTAATTCTTATTTTTTACTAAAAATTTACTCTCTTTTTATTTAGTCCATTAATTTTACATTTTATTTAATATGGTCTTTTGATTATAATTGTTTACAAATTCTTTGTTCCCATCAATCTCTTGACTCTTTTATACTTTCATCAATATTTTACCATCAAAATATATTCTTTATAATATAATATTGTAAATATAATTTATAATTTTATATTGTGTTTGATATATTAAATAGTTTTATAATGGGAAAAGAATATGAATAAGTATATATACATATATGGTTAGAGAAAATAGAAATCAATACTTACCATAATACTATAAATAATTATAGTAAAATTTGTATACAAACTCGAATAACTCGATTCGAAAAAATTTTAAGTTAAGTTTGAGTTACAAAATATAACTCAATTTGAATAACTCAAAATTTTTTTAGTTGATTGAATTGCTTACCCCTATTTCTAATAGATATAGTTTGTGATTATCTTAGATAAAAAAAAAAAACACTTTTGATATCATCCTCAAATCGCTCAAATTTTGAACTAAATAATCCAAAGACGCCCAAAAACGCTCAAATGATGATGTGATTAAAACATTTAATTATTTTTTAGAAAGTTTAAGGGTTTGATTTAAAAAAAACATAGAGTATTTATTTAATATATAATAAAAAATAAAAATATTTTTTTTGAATTTAAAATATTAAAAATGAAAACATCAAACAATTAAAAGTTCTAGAAAAATATCAAAGCTATAAAAATTTAAAACTCAAATTTTATTATTATTATTATTTATGAATAATTTCATCGGAAAAGCTATGAAAAAAGTAATGGCCAATATGATCTTAGGCCCTACCATCATTAATAGACTATCAAGTAAACGACCAATAGCATTTACGTCTCACCTCAGACCATAAACACCCCTAATAAATCATATCTGCTATCCACAAGGACCGGAGTAAAGTGAAGCAAATTTTAGTTGTTTTCCTGCCATGGATCACACTGATCAGTCTGAGAGTAGGAGAGGGGAAGAGATGGAAATTCATCATTTCAGCCATCACCATCCTTTGGTGTTCATCAAAGACCAGAGTTTCGCAAGTGAAGCAGCTTCCTGCTTCCTGCTTCGGGTGTGGTCGATCGCTACAGGGTTCCAGCTATGGCTGCACTGAATGTAAGTATTTTCTTCACAAGGGATGTGCAGAGTTAGAGTTAGCCCCTGAAATTGATCATCCCTTCCACTCCCAACACCCTTCGACTCTTTTGCCAGGATTTCCTTAGGGGGGGGGGGTCGTAGTTGTGATTTTTGTTATAGTGGCTCTGCAGGATTTGTTTATCATTGTGCTTCTTGTGGATTCGATCTGCACGTAAACTGTGCTCTGCTTCAATCATCCATTGCTGCAAATGTTCCCTCTTATTTGCACCAGCATCCATTGTTCTTTATTGAAAACCATAACAAGGAAATCAAACGCGATTGCTCGGGATGTACGAAACCGTTATCTGGTCCAATTTACCACTGTGGGGATTATTCTTATCCTAAATTATTTGACCTTCATAAGGAGTGTGCTGAACTACCCCTTGAGATTAAACACTCCTACGACCCTAAGCATCCTCTTACTCTCTTGCCGATATCACCGACTCATCATCACGATTGTAGTTGCTATCTATGCAAAATCCAGTGGGAAGGGTTTGTTTATTCTTGCTCTATTTGCAAGTTGGAGCTTACTCTTGATGATGTTATTACACCAACAAAGATCACAACTGCAAGTCAAACACCCATGGAAGCTTCTGTCGAGACAAATGTCATTTATTTGTGATTTTTGTGGCATCGCTGGAGATCACAACCCGTATCTCTATCTCTATGGTGTGTTTAATTCACGGAATATAAGATTGAATAAGGTTACTGAAAATATTATATTTTGTGTTTTGTTGGTTTAGCATGAATGTAAGATTACCGTGTTTGGTTAAAGGAATAAAATATTATTGGAATGTATATTTGATCAAATCGTTCTTATTATATATTTGTTTTTTAACAATTAGAAAATATTTATATATTTTATCTAAAAAAAATTAAATTTATATAATTTATATAATTTTTTTACAAAATTGAAAATATAAAAATGTTTAATGAAAGTGTAAAATTTATTTTAATCCATGAACTTCATAAAAAAATTTAATTATAGATTTTTTTTTAAGTTTAAGGATAAATTTATAATTTAACTTTCATAGAATTTTTATTATTCAATAACAGAATAATGATATTTTTTAAAAAAAAAAAATTTAAGGGCATTTTAGTCCAAAACGCCGGTAATCTAACAATACCTAAGAAAATGAAGGTAATGACATTCACGGTAATATACCCAAAAAAATCCACTATTGGTAATGTAGGATTACAGGGAATGACATTCCCGACCAACCAAACGGGGGAATGTGGATTCCATTCCCATGGAAATCTCACATTCACCCAACCAAACACCCCCCGTTTGGTTAGTCCGGGAATCTCATCCCTGGTAATGTAAGATTACCAATAGTGAATTTTTTGGGGTATATTACCAGGAATGTCATTACCTCTATTTCCTTAGATATTGTTGGATTACCAGCGTTTTGGACTAAAATGCCCTTAATTTTTTTTTCTTTCAAAAATATTTTTCTTCTGTCATTGAATAATAAAAATTTTACGAATGTTAAATTACAAATTTATCCTTAAACTATTTTAGATTTACAAAAAAACTATAATTAAAATTTTATATGAAGTTTAGGGGTTAAAATACAATTTTACCCTTTCATTAAATCTTTTTACATTTTCAATTTTGTAAAAAAAAATTATATAAATTTTATGAATTTAAATTTTTTAAAGAAAATATATAAATATTTTCCAATTTGTTAAAAAAAATATATAATAAGAACAATTTGATCAAATATACATTCTAATAATATTTTATTTCTCTAACCAAACACGGTAATCTTACATTCCTGCTAAACCAACCAAACACAAAATACAACATTCTCAATAATCCTATTCCCTGATAATCTTACATTCCTACTGATAATCTTACTTTCCCACTGATAATCTTACATTCCGTAAACCAAACGCACCCTAAGGGGGTGTTTGGTTCAAGGATTGTGGGATTCCCATGGGCATGTTTGGTTGGCCGGGAATCTCATTCCCGGTAATGTTTTATTACCAATAGTAGATTTTTTGGGATATATTACCGGGAATGTCATTACCTCCCTTCCCTTAGGTATTGTAACATTACCGGCGTTTTGGACTAAAATGCCCTTAAAATTTTATTTTATTTTTCAAAAATATCCTTCTTATGTCATTAAATAATAAAAATTCTACGAAGGTTAAATTACAAATTTATCCTTAAATTATTTTAGATTTACAAAAAAATTCTATAATTAAAATTTTATATGAAGTTCAGGGGTCAATTTTTTTTTATCCTTTCATTAAACCTTTTTTATATTTTTAATTTTGTAAAAAAATTATATAAATATTATGAATTTAATTTTTTAAAGAAAATATATAAATATTTTACAATTTGTAATATTATACAAATATATAATAAGAACAATTTGGTCAAATATACATTCCAATAATCTTTTATTCCTTTAACCAAATACGGTAATCTTACATTTCTGCTAAACCAACCAAACACAAAATGCAACATTACCAGTAATCCTATTATCTGGTAATCTTACATTCCGTGAACCAAACGCATCCTAAGTGTAATCTTGTTGTCCACAGGATGTGCATTTCAATGCCTCGCAGTATCATGTTAACAAGACATCATCACATCATTTCTCTTTCATATTCTCTTCCACAAAATGAAGTCGGAGACTGGATTTGCAGAATTTTTTATGAAGATGTCGATACAAGGTATGGTAGTTACTATTGTTCTGCAGCTGATTGCAATTATATTGCTCATGTACATTGTGCAACCAATAAAAAAATTTGGGATGGAACAATTGTCTTGGAAGACAATGATGAAAGCTGCAACGAAACACAGCATGCATCCATGAATTTGATTACTTAAGTTATTGAACAAACGAGTATCGAAGAGCAGATGGTAGCGACTGAGATCAAACATGAGTATCATGATCACAATTTAAGACTCACTTTTAGTGGGGAGATCAAAGATGATAGCCAATGTGATGGGTGTATGAGGCCTATCTCAATTCCTTTTTATAGTTGTGATCAATGCATGTTTTCTCTCCATAAAGCTTGCGCTGAATTGCCTAGAGAAAAACGACACCCATTTCACAAGCATGTGCTAACGCTCACAAACACAGCCTTTTTCCCTGAGGATGGCTATTCCATATGCTACGGTTGTTTCAATTTTTACCATGGATTTAGCTACCGATGCTACAATGAAGATTGCAAATTTTACAGTAGCTGGGACATTAGATGTATTTCACTATCAGGCACTTTGGAGCATCCATGTCATGAACATTCACTCTTTCTAGCCCACAACTTTCCAACCAAGTGCAGTGGTTGTCTTTCAGAAATACCCCGAGATTGCATTGCATATAGATGCATGAAGCGTTGTGATTTTACAGTAGCTGGGACATTAGATGTATTTCACTATCAGGCACTTTGGAGCATCCATGTCATGAACATTCACTCTTTCTAGCCCACAACTTTCCAACCTAGTGCAGTGGTTGTCTTTCAGAAATACCCCGAGATTGCATTGCATATAGATGCATGAAGCGTTGTGATTTTACTTTAGATATACGATGTGTGGCACTACGGCTCACAACTTGGTACAAGTATGACAGGGATCCTCTTACTCTGACTTATTCTGATGATTCTAGTCCTTCTCAACATTACTGTGATCTGTGTGAGAATGAACGCAACCCCGATGACTGGTTTTACTCCTGTGCTGATTGTGATAATTCTCTTCATTCCATATGTGCTCTCGGGGAACCCGAATTTTTTAAGATTGGAAGCAAAGTCAAATATGCTAATCATTCACATCCATTGAGTGCTGTGAAAAACATTTGGAATTGCCCTCCATGTAAGGTATGCCTAAATCTTTGCAATGGGCTGGCTCTGGAATGTAAAGAATCGGAATGCAACTTTACCGTCCACTATTATTGCTGTCCTTGGCTGTGATAACTCTCTTCATTCCATATGCGCTGTCGAGGACCCTCAATTTATGAAGCTTGGGAGCAAATTTGAATCTGATCGTCATCCACATCCATTAACTGTCGTGAAAATCATTTGGAATTGCCGCCATGCAAGGTATGCAGTAATCTTTGCAATGGAGTGGCCCTGTAATGTAAAGAATCTGAATGCAGCTTTACCATCCACTATGTGTGCCATTGGCAATACTCATATTCCACTCAAGTCTATCGAACACAGATGCTGCACTTCAAAGGTATCTACTCTGCATTGTGTTATTCTTGCTTAAGCAATTCCAAGTTTGTTTAGATCAGACGTTATCTATAACCACACATCATCTGTGTGTGTTTTCCTTTGTTTGTTATTGCGTCAACTCCATCTACTTTGGAGCAGCCTTGTTTGACAAACACAGATCAACCCTTGAATATATCTACGATAAAGTAATTTAAATAATTAAATTTGAGTAATTCGATATTAACGTAATTTCTTATAATTCAGTGATCTTACAAATAATCTGATGACAATTCAATTGCTTAATGAATTACGAAAAGTCAACGACCAAAAACACCCCTAATTAACCCTTGCATTGCTACAACTGTGATTGTGCATGACATGCAACTCGGCGAGTTTTCACACAGAGGTTGGCATGCAAAACTCTTCATTGGTAGTGGTATCGACGGTGATATCGGCACTGATTATGAACATAATGGGAAGTAGCCCAGGCTTCTTTTGAAGACATATGGATAGATCAAACTGAGAACTTGACGATGTTCAAGCATGTGGTTGAATTGTTTCTTTTGTAAAAAGTGTCCCATTAAAGGATGTTTTTATTAAAAAATTGTAATTTTATTATATATATATATATATATAATCATTAAAGTGAACGATGTGACTATTTTTACAATAAAGGCAAGCCCACAGAACATGCAATATCAAATGTTGAAACGTGTTTTATTAATCAAGTTGAGTTTTAAGTGACGATTATTAAAAACCGAATTAAAGTTTCAAGGAGCTGTTTTAGCTCTGCTGGTAGAGTGCGTGGCATCTAATCAGGTGGTTGTGTGTTTTGATTCCTACACCTGCGTGTTTGTTTTCATTTTGGCTCCGCCATATGCTTAGGGAGTATAGCTCCGGAAACACCACTATGGCACTATCTGCTCACATTCGGATCCAATTCCAATCCCAGATCAACAAACGGCCTGTAAAAGCTCAACCTTTTCATCTTTAATCAGTGACTTCTTGGAGAATTTGTTCCAGCTTGTTAGAAGCGTAAAATTGTCCATCTAGCTCAGTTGGTAGAGCGCAAGGCTCTTAATCTTGTGGTCGTGGGATCGAGTCCCACTGAGGGCAATTCATAACGGAGGTCTTACACGGAAGCTGCCCTCAACCTGGCGTTGAGGGCAGCCTACTATCCTACCTCCCCCCTACCTCATTACATATGAGAATAGGGTCAGCTAATTTTTGTTGGAAGCGTAGATGGGCTCACGATAATTTATAACACTCAAATTTTTTATTTATACGAAACAAAATACGTTACAACGACACTCTTAATATTACAATACTAGCTTCTGCTAGTTCACAAAACACTTATAGCTTTGCTAAGCTTTCTTTTTAATTTTTCTTCCTCTCACTCGTTACTCACTTTTCCTCACTTATCTACATGCTTGCTTTGCTCACATATATACATGTAATAAATCGACTTTGAAAATGTTAGAAGCTTCTCAATTTCTCCATTGTTTGCCGCCTTAAATGATGAACATATTTGCTT